AATTTCCCCCCCCCCCCCTTTCCCTTCCTGCTGCTGTTCAGGAGAGCAGCAACGAGTCAGCGCTGGTCCAGTGGGAGGAGCTCCAAGTGGGGTCCTAGTTTATCTGGCCGGCGACCCGGCAGTCGCTGGCCAGCTAAATTAGGACCCCACCTGGAGCTCCTCCCACCAGACCAGCGCTGACTTGCCGCTGCTCTCCCGCACAGCGCCGACTACGACCTCACCAGCGTGGCACATCGTGAGGCATCGGCCATCATCGAGCAGTGAGTGAGGGCTAGGGGGGTCCCTATTAAGAAGCTATTAATATTAGCAGAGGATAATTGTAAATCTATTGTCTGCAGTGTGTACTCTATATATATTACATATAGAGCACACACTGCAGACAATAGATTTACAATTATCCCCTGCTAATATGAATGGGTTAAATGATCCATAGTACATAACATGTAGTTGTATTATGGATCATTTAATCCATTCATGTTAGCAGGGGAGAATTGTAACTATTACTGCCGTGTACTCTATATGTAGTACACACACATACATACATACATATATGTGTGTGTGTGTGTGTGTGTGTGTGTGTGTGTGTGTGTACTACATATAGAGTACACGGCAGTAATAGTTACAATTCTCCCCTGCTAACATGAATGGATTAAATGATCCATAATACAACTACATGTTAGTACACTGCAGCAATAGATTTACAATTATCCTCGGCTAACATGAATGGGTAAATGATCCATAGTACATAACATGTACTTGTACTACGGATCATTTAACCTATCAATATTTGCACGGGATAATTGTAAATCTATTGCTGCAGGGTATTGGGAATATGTACTATATATCGATATGTATGTATATATGTATATGTGATTATATATATATATATATACACACACACATACATACACACATATCACATATACATACACACACACATATCGATATATAGTACATATTCCCAATACCCTGCAGCAATAGATTTACAATTATCCCCTGCTAATATTGATAGGTTAAATGATCCGTAGTACAAGTACATGTTATGTACTATGGATCATTTACCCATTCATGTTAGCCGAGGATAATTGTAAATCTATTGCTGCAGTGTACTATATGTAGTACATAGTACATGTTACACACGTCCAGTACACTGCAGCAATAGATTTACAATTCTCCCCTGCTAATATGAATGGGTTAAAAGATCCATAGTACATAATAGTACAATATGTAGTTGTACTATGGATCATTTAACCTATTCATGTTAGCAGGGGAGAATTGTAATTCTATTGCTGCAGACTGAAGTAGGGCTGCAACAACTAAATCGACATAATTGATTAAAATCGATACTTGAAAAAGTTGTCAACTTTTTCAATCATCGATTAATCGGCTTCCGATTGGTTGGCCCTGTTCACGGCTCCACACACACTGCGTGTCGCACCTCCTCCCCACCTCACGCTCACCGCCTGCCCGCCCAAATCCACGATCGGCACAGGGGACACGGAAGAAGTAAAGAGGAGCAAGTGTGGGCGGATGACAGCCGCCAATAGACTGGCCCGATCTCTGAAACAAGTTGCTGGAAGACTGCTCAGGTAATCCTGCACTTTCCCACACATGGTGCTCTGTAATGTATTGCTGGGATTTGTTGTATTCCTCTATAGCTGGTGGTATTCTCCATTGCGCTGTATAGAGGACTACAAAACCCAGCAATAGTACATTATAGCTGGTGGTATTCTCCATTGCGCTGTATAGAGGACTACAAAACCCAGCAATAGTACATTATAGCTGGTGGTATTCTCCATTGCGCTGTATAGAGGACTACAAAACCCAGCAATAGTACATTATAGCTGGTGGTATTCTCCATTGCGCTGTATAGAGGACTACAAAATCAAGGAATAGTACATTATACAATGCAGAATACCGCCAGCTATAGAGGACTACAAAACCCAGCAATAGTACATTATACAGCGCAATGCAGAATACCACCAGCTATAATGTACTATTGCTGGGATTTGTTGTATTCCTCTATAGCTGGTGGTATTCTGCATTGTGCTGTACAATGTACTATTGCTGGGTTTTGTAGTCCTCTATAGCCGGTGCCATTCTGCATTCATTGCTGTATAAATGTTACACTTTTCATTTCACTATATTGCACATCACAGTTTTGTTTTGTTTTTTTAATTCCACCGCTCCAAGCTTGCTCCTGTGATGGACTACAATCTCAATACAAACTCATAGTCCATCACTGGAGCCATTTTTTATCCGATTAATCGAACTTAATAAATCGGCTAACTAATCGATTTTGAAAATAATCGTTAGCTGCAGCTCTAGACTGCAGTGTACGGGACGTGTGTGCTGTATATGTACTATGGATCATGATTTAACCTATTCATGTTAGCAGGGCAGAATTGTGAACTTCCTCCCACAAGCTGAGCACCAAGTCGCGATACAGCCATCCTGCCCAGCGCCGACCACGAGATCAGGGCAACAGGGATCGGAGTGAAACTGTGAGTGAGGGAAGCTGGGACAGGGCTGGCTGAAAAATCTATTGCTACAATGTACTGGAAGTGTGTACTGTATATGTAGTAAAACTATATACAGCACACGCCTCCACTACAGCAATAGAGTTACAATTTCTCCCCTGCTAACATGAATAGGTTAAATCATGAGCCATAGTACATAACATGTAGTTGTACTATGGATCATTTAGGGCTTGTTCACACCAAATGCAGACCAGATCTGCATGAGTTTCTGCACACGCAGTGCAGTGGGTTGTGTCGCGTTTTTGATGTGTTCCGGGCCGTTTTGGGTTAAAAAAAAAAATTTACATTTAGAATGTGCTTTTAGTGCGTTCGAGGGTGTTTGCATGCATTCCAGAGCGTTCCAGAGCAGGTAAAATATGGCTTGCTGCAGTTTTTTTACATGCTTCGGAACTGAACGCTGCGGTGTGAACTAGAGCCCAAAATACCATTGGAATGCATTAGACGCAGTTTTGATCTGGTCTGTAACTGCTCCTGGAACGTGCTTGGTGTGAACAAGGCCTTAACCTATTCATGTTAGCAGGGGAGAATTGTAACTATTACTGCAGTGTACTGGATGTGTGTACCAGGTTAAATGATCCATAGTACACACTTCCAGTACACTGTAGTAACAGAGTTACAATTCTCCCCTGCTAGCATGAACAGGTTAAATGATCCCAGAGGCAGATGCATGATCGGATTTGTAGTTTCACGACAGCTGTGTGAAAGCAAATATAGATGTTTTATTGTTCTAAAACGGGCCGTTCCCGGGAAGGACAGGTGCTGCGTGTGATTGTACGCAGCAACCTGTTCTTCTCTATGGGAGGATGTGGCCTACTTTGCCCTACGCTCACCCACCCTGCACGTCCATGAAGGTGTCCGTACTCATACACAGACAGGTGCCCGAGCACGGACACCCGCATGGATGTGCAGTTCGGGTGTGCATACGGCCGCATCCTCCCATAGAGAAGAACAGGCTGCTGCGTACAATCACACGCAACACCTGTCCTTCCGGGGAACGCCCCATTACGACCGTGCATGCCGCATGGATCTGTACGGGCCGACACTTAGCTGTGTGAATGAGGCCTTAGCGTTGCAGGGAAGCAAGGGTCTGAGGTGGGCTGTATAGGATCTCTGGTTGGCTCTGCAGGGTCTCAGGCAGAGACTGCCAAAGACCCCGCACATCCCACTGTAGACCTTGCACAGCACTCCTGAGTTCCTGAAAACCCCACCAGAGACCCCTCCAGAGCCCACCATAGACCTTGCACAGCCCACCATAGACCCTGCACAGAGACTCTCAAGTGGGCTGTGCTGGATCTATTATGGGCTGTACAAGGTCCCTTTCCCTGCACACATGCTGCCCCTCTTACCTGCACCTCCCCAGCCTGCTTCCAGGATATGCCTCTTCTTCCTGCATCTTCGTCCAGCCGCCGAAGCTTCTTCCTCCAGCCACCCGCAGCCTCCGCCGGCCGGGCCGCCTCTCTCACGGTCCCATCAGCAGTCTTCCTCCGTGCCTAGACCCGGCGGCACAATGGCTTCCTGGACCCGCCTGCAGACTCCGCCGGCCGGGCCGCGTCTCCCTCGGCCCCGCCTCCTCTGTCACACGGCAGCTCGCGGCCAGTCCCTACTAGAAGCCACACGCCTCCTGTGACTCACCTCCCCTCCCGCCGCCTGTTACTATGGACGCGGCCGGGAGGGGAGGACACAAATTAGCGTCCTCCCGTCACCCTAGGCTCAGTATACTGCTCGCGGTATACAGAGAGGCCACAGTATACCGCAAGCAACTGCTCGCAGTATACCGAGACAATTATGTCTGGATCCGCCCAGCTGCGTGAGTGACAGCTGGCTCTGCCTATCTAGAGGCAGAGTCAGCTGTACCCGCCCCCTCCCCTGTCCGATCTGCCAGTCAGCGCTGGCGGATCGGGGAGGGAAGAATCCAGCCCCTCCCGTCACGGCAGAGAGCTGTGACAGGATCGAGAGGTGAGCGAACGCCGGTATGTGTTCGCTCACTTCTCGATCGACTGAGCTGACCTGTGACAGTCTCATTGTCACAGGTCGGCTAGAACTATGAGGTGAGTGAAAAGCACTCACCTCATAGTTCTCCTTTAACTATTAATAATAATGTGTCTTATTTGTGTATGACTTGGCTGTATATCCTCAAATATCTCCAAATTGGTTCTTCCTTCTGGAGGTTGGCTACTTTTGTCCTCCATGGTCCCTGTGTGTGTGTGTAAAGTAGCCACCGCACCAAGCTTGCTCCCATCATGAGATTGCAGTTCATCACGGGAGTGAGCTTGGAGCGGTGACTACTTTACAACACACACAGGGACCATGGGGAACAAAAGTAGCCACCCTCCAGAAGGAAGGACAGTGTCAGCACCAATTCAGAGATGATTTGAGGATCTACAGATGAGTGGTACACAAATAACATACATTTTTGTTAAAAATACATTCAAGTACCTTGGCTATGAAGATTGACTCCCTACTTTAAGAATACCAGTGGATGCCAGAGGGGGTGCAATAGTAGTTGGTTACAAGCAAAACCAAAATTAATTAATTCAAGAAATTGCATCAAACGAAGTTCCAAAGCCCAACACTGAAAACTTCCACCACCTAGCACACGTTCACGTCTGTGAATGGCCACATTTACAATGCCTTATCCTATAATTGCTTTGGTGAGGTTGCCATGTGCAGTTTTCCCGATAAGAGAACATATTAGGTCATGTGCTTGTTATAGAAGATATGTTCCATCAGGAAGAACATTAGCTTGTAGCAATCTCTGTACTAAATGTAACAAGCTAGACATCTGTACTTTGTTTTATGTAAAACATTACTTTCATGTGACAGCACAAATTCCTGTACAAACTGGAAAGAGTCTGCTGTCACTGGCGTAAACTTGAAGCCTTCCTCCTCTGTGGCTTTATTCAACAAGGAAAAAAAAAAAAAGACAGAATATAATCTGAACACATCTTCAATTGTAACTCAAATCAGAAAATTATTTTCAAGTTTTGGAGCGAGTGGAGAAGGGTAACATTCCATGTAAGGTCTTTAAAAGTAGAACTAAAGCCATTTTATTTCTTTTTAAATAAAGGGAGGGTTTTAACCACTCTCAGAATTTTACTGCTGTCTGTGTTCCATTGGAGAGATATCCCCTCACTTCCTGTCCAATAGCCACAACAGGAAGTGAGAGGAAATCCCTGGTGGTCAGCAGGGTCACCAATGGAAGATTTCGTATCTATTCTTGTTCTGGTGACAATCCAAAATGTGGAATTTTCTTTCACTTATCACCATAATAGAGAGGATGAATCTCCCTAACAGGGACACAGACAGCAATAACAAACCCCAAAAGGTATTCTAATCTCTCTTTATTCAAAACTAAATTTAAAAAAAAAAAAAAAAAAATTGCCTTCAGTTCCACTTTAGGGCTACCTGGGGCAAAATTGACCCTCACCTCCTATCCTACGGAAAATGGTCTCACTAGACGGGAAGTTGGGGAAAATCTGAAACAGGGACACAGAAATAAAAATCAGATGTTCTAGTAATTCCGAAATCTATAAAAGAAAGCATTTTTTCCTGTCTGTGTTGCTGTTGGAACAATCCCTTCACTTCCTATTTGGTGAAGCAATGTCACTAGGACAGGAAAGTGAGGGTCTCTCTAACAGAGCCCTGGATGGCAATAAAAAGCTGACAGAGTGCGAACCCTTCCACACTCCATTCAAAACCAGAAGCAAGAAGTTTTAGCTGGATAGATACTTTAAAGGAACTGCACAGTACCAAGAGAAATATACATGTGTCATTACTAAACACATTCTGAAGATGCAAGTTGACTGGCTGTGTCTCACTGAACCAGGTATTCATCTATTAGACTGAAGTTCTAACTTGTGACCCAATTTCATGGTCCAGGCCACTGTGATTACGGAAACCACTGAATTAGAATGATTTCCAGGGAGCTACAAAAGAAATGGCAGCATCCGCGTTTTCCAAGCGCATCTCCTTAATGCAAACACTCCAGGAGTAAAAGGAATTTCTCCTGAAAAAAAAGCAGTGCACTTCCTGGTATGTAACTGCTTATATTCCAATAGCTGTATATCTGCAGTGCGAGATCTAAGGCACTGCTGCCGCTGACTGCTAATCTTACAAGATTTAGACTGAGACTTGGTAAAGTCAATACACTGCTGCTTGCTGGAGAGGGATCTGCACTGCATCTAGCTGCTTCTGCTTCATTCTGTGCTTCCACCACCTCTCCTGCTGCTTCTTTATTATCCCCCCACTAATTATCAGACCACCAGTCAACAGAGGGTAGCTCTGACATGAGAAAGGAAAACCTCGCCTCTTTACCAATATGGCATCCCCCAAACAGAGAACGGACAGAACAAAACATGGTAAGTTAGTAATGAAGATCAGTGGCAAGGAGCCCACAAGCAACACTGGTGACTAGTCAGTTGCTTTTTGGCCACAATCTTAGATCCTTTATAAATTATAAGTAATCATTCAATGCATCCAATATCTTATGGCCAGTGAAGTGGTCTTGAATTTTTGCTTGCATATGTACTACTAATTTTATTAAGTATGCAGTTGTCAAAGCCCCTCAAAATAAAGCCCAATAAAAGAAAGCAATAGGGTAAACATATCACAAAACACAAACCTAGATCTTCTGACTACCCACCTAATATTCTTTCCAACTCTTCACACTTCTTTACTTCACCAACAAATTTTCTCTGGAAGGCACTTACATGAGGGTTGAGCTGTTAAGATAAAAATGTGACATTTGTTTGAAATACACAAGTAAACCCAGCCCATGAGGAGGACCTCTATGATCATTTCATGTAGGTATAACAGATTATCTCAATTCTATGTCTTTAGAACATATGCAGCAAAGCAATGAGGCCAACAAACCACTCCCCGCAGGTATCACAGTTGTAATGTCATGTTGATTTTTCATCTTTTGTCTATTCATAAAAAACCTACATCAATATAGCAAAGTATTGTGTTGCTATCTGTTGACTTTTTAAAATAAAATTAAGTTTAACTGCAATAAAAGGCGGCATAGAAAAGTACAGCAAGAGTTAGGCTGGGTTCACACCATTTTCCGGACCAGATCTGGTATATAGTGCATTGCATTTTTGTGGCAATTTTTTTGGTCTTACAGGTGCGTTCCAGTGCATTTCATGCGTTTTTGATGCATTTCAGACCAGACCAAAAAAAATAGGACTAGCAGTATTTTTCTGGTCTAGTCAGGAACGGACTGCACTGGTGGGAACAGAGGCAAGAAATAGCATAGGGATACATTGGGGTGCATTTTGGGTCCAGAAACAGTCTGGTATGGAGGTAATCTGTATGTGGTGTGAATGGGCCCTCAACCACCAGACATCCAGGTACATTGCATGACACACAATGAACTATAAACACTATTGTACAAAAGGAATGAAAGTGGTATTGTTAGATAACAAGCCCACAGAGGTTGTTAGTGACAGAAAATGTCACAAAAGGAGGATATTCTAATCTTTGGTGAATATATTTTATAGGCCTGTGGACTTGTATCTGGCAAGGTTACAGTCCCAGTGAGTAGGTCACCAAGGATGTCCAGGACAAAAACAATTCAAAGATGCAAAATAGACGAGAGGGAAGGAAGCAGGGAGAAAGGTATAGCAAGATAGAGCTGGGTGTACAGCGGGAGGAAAGGGAAGTGGGTTACCCCAAAGGTGTACGTGTGTCATAGCCAAGACACAGATTGACTTAGATAGGAGCCCGTTTGTAGGAAGGTTTGAAAATCTGAAAAAAAAAATCGAGCTTGTATCTATTATGTACTGTATCCGTGCAGTCAAGCTCTCCATCCTCATGATATGGCACATCTCTCTAACCTGCTCAGTTATGGATGAACTCTCAGTGCAATACCTATTATGGGGAAACCTGTCAACTGTGCAATTAATGTTTCCATGGTGGTTCAACCCTTCTGTGCTGCCATGGATGTAAGTGCAACGTCCGTGTCAGCAGCCTGGAGTCAATGTACATTTATGCGGCTGACTGTGGCTTTGTATTGGAAGTGCTTCCAAGACTCAAACAGCATGCCACATTCCCTGAATGAGCTGGCACTACTCAAAACATGGTACTGCCAGCTCATTCCAGCAGAGGAACTATAAGGCATAACGTGAACTCCAGGGAAGCTTCAAAACTTGTTTTTATCCAAGGTACCTCAAAATGCAGATTTCTGTAGTTTTATATAGCTTATCCCCTGCTCTCACAGATTTCTCCTCTCAGTGCAAAACGGACCCCAAAGCCTCCTCTCTTTAGTGATCCATTGATTGCAGGCGCTCGGACATTGTCATATTCAATGCAGGACCAGCAGTCCTGAATTGTAAGTGAAGACGTCGCTGGCCAGCCTGCAACCCAGAGCGCTGAAGGGAAGAGGATGGTTGCTAGGGGAGCAAGGGAAAAGGTAAGTGAAGCTGCTTAAATAGAACCCTAGAAAAAAAAATGGGCACTTAAAACTTTGCAGATTGGGGGGAGCCCCACTCAAAATTTCAGTCCTAAATCTGTCAATTAAGCCAGATCATTGTGAAGGTGCTGAATCAGCCAACCTGAAATCAGCCATCTTGCCTGCATTAACAAAGCATCTAAAAAAGGAAAGAAATATTTTTTTAAAAAGTTATTTTTCAGAATGCAGTGTAAATAGGAATACATAGCAAACATACAGAGGCGTTTTCTCAAATTTGACTGCAAAAGTGAAAATACACTTCAAGGTGCTATCATCTTTTCACTCATGTGGCAGACAGTTTTGCTGCTGTTTCAGTGCTTTGCCTCTGTTATTTTTATACAGCCTTCATTCTCCCTCCACCTACTACTACAAAATCTAACAGAGACGAAATGAAATGCCAAGTTTCCCCCGCCTATGTTATCAATAACCATCTATGATAAAGTTTAAGATGCTACACCTTTGACCTTCAGGATAATAAAGTAGAAAAGCATAAATAACTATATTAGTTTAACTGCATACAAAAAGCAAAAACTTGCACTGCAGCATACAAATAGGGGTTCATGTTGACAGGTGCTTTCCCGCATTTTAATGCCCCTCAAACACAGGTCAGAAAATCCCACTGACGGTAATTAAGCAAAATTCAATGGTGGGATTTGACTTGCTTTATGTTTCTTCTGATGGAGCATGTCCTAAAAGCGGACCTTTAGCACTGACTAAAAATTACATCAGCATACAGCTCTTGATGCCGATATGAAATCTTACATTCATTAGCTAAACAAACATAATTTTTATTTTACTTTACAATTTAATTTTGTTCCCACTTCCTGGTCCACTTTGACACAAATGATGTAATCATGCCAAAGCATTGCATCCTGGAAAGGTTACATCAGCAGAGCATTGCTGGGAGATCTCATCTGTAATCTCATGAGATCAAGGAAAGGCATTTTCCTCCCCTGAGATGATGTGCATTGTCACATGTCCTAGTCACATGTGCCAGAGTTCCAGGGAGTAAAGGGAGATCTAAAACCTGCCCTTAGTTAACATGGCTACTATCAGAAGACTAGGGAAGAAATAAAAAATAAGGTATGCAAAAAATAAAAAGCTGCAATTATCTAGAAGTATGTGTTTGTAGATTACATAGTTACATAGTATTTGAGGTTGAATAAAGACATTAGTCCATCAAGTCCAACCTATTAGGATCTCATTCTAGGAGTACCTGTACCCCTGTATATTACGGTCCCTTAAGAAATCGTCCAAAAGTTTCTTGAACTATTCCACATTCTTTGCTGAAATCACCGCCTGTGGCAGTGAGTTCCAGACCCTAACTGATCTTACTGTGAAGAACCCCCTTCGCCCCTTGTGCTGGAATTTTTTTCCCACCAATTTTAGGTGGTGGCCTCTAGTTTTTGTAACGGAGTTAATTTTAAAAAGTTTATCGCTAATGTTGCTACCACCATTGAACATTTTGTACATGGAGATCATATCCCCCCTTAATCTCCTCACCTCCAATGTGAACGTGTTTAAATTTAGTAGCCTTGTCTCACTAAATTGTCATCACTAAACATTTCTAAAAGGTGTCTTTGTTGTTTTTTGAAGATAAGGGTAAAGTTCCTATTTACGGTGTATTTGAACTGCAGGCAAAGCTAGTCAAATGCAGTGTTTTCTTATCAAACGCTGCATTTTGCTTTTGAAAAAAGCATTGCTTGACTCTAACCTCCATCGACATGAACCCCATAGCTTTTTCGAGGACAATGTTTTTGTATACCCTCTCTTCTAAGTTGTAGTTGCTTTTATTTTTAATCTACCAGCCGAACTGGTTCTTAGAGCCAAATACATTGTACTAATCCAATATCAAACCTGGGCGCACAGAAGAACAGATTTTTGAGAAAATCTTTTTACGCTTCCTCCAAGTTTGGTTTTAATCTATTAGGTACTTCATATTAGCTCAGACAAAAAACTTCCCTATGAGAAATAGGGAACAGCTATTGCTGAAAGGTTATTAATATACTGTTTTTAGATTTCAGTTCTTTGTTTTAAAAGAAATCAGAAAGCACCATTTTCCAAACTCATCTTCTAATGCCATCAGCAACGCTTGTTTAGCAGGTAACCTTTCATGTGCACAGGTTAAGTCACAATGTCAAAGTAAAGCAATTTAGATATTAACAAAATACAAATGTTCTGTGGGACTTGGACACTAGTATAAATGTAAGCCTTATAGCGAACCTGTGCATAATGCATGCAGGGGAACACAAATGGTTACAAGTTAGTAAAGCAAACTTGTTGGTGTGCATGGGACAGCCCCACCTTGGTGTGCATGGGACAGCCCCACCTTGGTGTGCATGGGACAGCCCCACCTTGGTGTGCATGGGACAGCCCCACCTTGGTGTGCATGGGACAGCCCCACCTTGGTGTGCATGGGACAGCCCCACGATCTGCCTGTCCAAGATAGGCAGATTGTACGTTTTTTTAAATTACCTTACAACCATCGCAAGACAAAAGTCTTACGATGGTTGTAAGGTGTGTGCCCAGCCTAATAGAGCATCTTAATGTGCCCATACACCTTACAATTATCTGCAGATTTTCTGTGGTCAGAAGAAAAAAAGTGCAACAGATTGGCCCAGGTGGAGATTACTCCATCCACACAGTTAAGTGTAGATGGAGGAATCTGTTGCACCTTTTCCACCTGACCACAGAAAGTCTGCAGATAATTGTAAGGTGTATGGCCAGCTTTAGGTTACTGGTCTCTTAGGGAACTCATAACATAACTATAGGTACCCACATTTAAAGTAGATCTAAAACCCCACAGAAGATATAACATGTAAAAGTAATTTCAAAAGTTCTTTTCAAATTCTCTTGGAATCAGCAGCTTTCATTAAAACAATACCCGATACCTCTCTGGTAGACTATAAAGAATTACCTTACCAGATGGCAGAAAATGGAATGCACTTTATATAGATGTAATAATTATTTTAAAAAAATGTATTCGGCTTGTTTCATAAAGAGAAAAATATTAATAAAATGTTTATTATTATACAGGATCTTTAGTTTGTGCAGCGCTTTACAATATAAGGAAGACATTACAGTTACAATACAAATCAAGACAAGATGGTAAAGAGGGCCCTGCCTGTGAGGGCTTACAATCTAACATACACATTCAAATCTCTCTCTCTCTCTATATCTATATATATATAATTAGGGCTGGTAATGATTAAAAATTTCCTGTTCGATTAATTGAAATTTTGATTAATCGATTAATTATAACGCACATACACATCCAACTACATTGGCCTATACACATACAGCACAGCAATGAAGTAATAAAATGAACTAGGATCACTGCCAATGCCGGGGATCCCAACCTGAAATAAGTCATTTAAGGGAGGTGTCCCTCTCCCCCCCATCCGTGGAGGGGTTAACGATTAATCGAGGGATTAATCGTTAATTTCCGCAGCCCTAATTATATATATATATATATACACACACACACACACACACACACACACATACATATATATATACACATATACACATACGACCAGCTTTTTGATTGTGCTACTAGGTACTTGGCTATTCTTTGCACTTTAAAATTGGGGGCACCCCATAAAACTGTCGGGTGCAGTGTGCTTATAAGCAAGCCTGTTACTACAGTAGGCTTTTGGAAACATGGTATACCTTAACAGAACAAATAACGTAAGTACTTAACTTTCCTGCTGCCTATATGATTCTGATACTCTGCTGACGTCCACAGATTAATTATGTAGCGGTCAGCAGGAGGACCCATAAGATGGACAGCTTGACTGACAATTACTCAGACGTGGAACACTGTACTCAAATGACTTTTATATCATTTTGAGAGAAGATTTTGAGACGGCTAGAGCTTCCTGTGGGTGGTACTTAATAACCATTGGTTTTTATTTTTTACTATATAAAAACGGGAAAAAATGTTGAAAACAATGTTAACCTTACTAGTGTAAACATATCAAATAAATATGCCAGCACAGTGCAAACACTCCCACAATTACCCCTTTTTGGAAAGTAGACACACCAAGGTGATTCAATTTTTTTTTTGCCTCAATTGAGTTGGTTATATATAGAAAATAAAATGCGCATAGCCTTAAAATGTCACAAACTGAAGCCAAGTGCAAGTCTTCCATTATTAGTTGAAGAAGGTTCCCTGGAGGATCAAATGACATTGTGTGCAATGGCTAGATGTCATGGATAAACCAAAACACTTTAAACCCATTCAAAACAATCCCACAATCTTTGGTGGTCACCACCCCCATTTATTGGTGGTAGAGATGAGGCTGGGCTTGGTACAAACCAAGTTCGGCTGAGTTTGCCCAAGCCTGCTCAAAACACTGAGTGCCACCCAATCAGGTGCGTCGAGGTGCATTCCCTGCCCCAGTTATACGTCACAAAGGGGTAGGGAATGTCCACGCCGCAACTGCCAACACTGGTTGGGTCTGGAGTAGGGGGTGGCAGTGAGGGGTTTTGAGTGGGCCTGGGCAAACTCAGGTGAACTGGGATCACAGAAAGCCCAGACTCAGCACTACTTGGTGGTCAGCAGCATTTTCAAACATCCCTTCCCTCCAAACACTCCCACAAGATTGGTGGTTACTGGAATTTTAAACCCCCCTCCCAAAAAAAATTAAAAACGATGGTCAGCAAGTTGGGTGCGTGCATAAAAGGTAAACAAAAATGGATGTACAGGTATGTCTACCCTTCCAAGTAAGGGCATAGTCAAGCTGTTTAGTTACAATGACTGAACATAAAGTATTTAAAAGAGAAGTATTTGGATAGTAAAATATACTCTTCTAAAATACCAAGAACCGGCGGGGGACACTGCAGCTGTCACATGGCAGCTCTTTATACCGAGAGCTGAGTGATCATGTAATTGCCAATTGCTCAGCACATGGTTTCCGTCAGTCACCTCTCCCTGCAGGGACTTCCCCCTTCCCTCTCTGTTACCCCAGCGCTCACTATGAAGGGACAGATAGGCTGGGGGCAGGCACAGCTGTGCTGGCTCTGGAGAGGCGGAGCCAGCTATCAGGAAGACAGGTGGATTCCAACAATTTTGTCACGATCCTTACCAGCTGAAGTACGGCTCTGGGCTGTCAGCATATAGCGGGCAGTAGCCTTCTATAGGTGGACTATGGGTCACCAGAGTACATTAGTGATAAAGATTTGGCTTTACTTCTGTTTAAGCTTGCTTAGGATTAATTTCTATAAAGTTAGAAGCTGTGATGCATAACATTATGAACATGTTGTCTTTGGAATGCACTCATTAAAGATTGGTTATTCAATGTACATATTGTTAACTGTAGAAGTCACACTGAGCGATGAGGACGACGGGAAATAGGGAGGGTAGAAAAATCAAACTTTTTTCTTTAGCGGTACATTTCAGAAATCCTATCAGGTAGTGATTTTTACAGAGGGAGGAGGCCTGGACATTATAAGTAGACCTGGCATTGTACAGTAAGACAACACCCACCTCCACCATGGCCAGCGATCACTGCTGCACATTGACATACTTTGTGTTGTCCACTATCTTCACCCCACAGGGTCCTCTCCCCACCATTGAAGGACCAGTTGGTTGTCTCCCCACCATTGAAGGACCAGGTGGAGATGCCCCCACCATTGAAGGACCAGTTGGAGATGCCCCCCTGTTCCTGATTTACAGAGACATAGTGAAGCTGTGCAAACAAGACTCAAGGAGCACTTCACAGGAAATGACAGCCGATGAATGGAAGTGTTCGTCCCCTTGTGTCTATGTTACAGGTCCTCCTGGAGCACTTTAGCTGACCAGACTTCATGTTAGGACAGACATCAACACACACACACACTCCAATACTCACATCCCTGAACTCTGCCAGCCCCATCTCCCCCAGTTCGCTGACACAATCATAAGCCGAGCCGGCCTGGAGGAAAAGCTGTGCCAGGCACATGGCCTCACTCCGGAATAGAGACCCCATTGTGTATATCCGCCAGTCCTGGCCCGAGATCCTAGAAACTCTCCACTCTACTCCACGTCGCTTCCCAACTCATTCCTCGCACAGCACTTCCGGGATGTCCAGACTTCCGGTGATTGGTAGCGCAGACAGCCCGCCCTGGAAGGAGGAACCCGGCTAGAGGGATCCGCTAACGTCACTCAGTCTGCCGTGTGATTGGTGGAAGCGGCCATGGTTACTGTGGAACGCAAGGCGTCTTAGCAACCCAATCGGCGGTTTTATTGAGCAGAGGACAGAGAGATGTCGACCCCGGGAGCTTCAGGCCTGATGGTCATAGGGATGGCGGTGCTGACAGCGGCCACACAAGCACAGACCATCACGGGTGAGAAAAGAGAATGGCTGGTCTTTGTTTATAGCGGCTGAGTCGAGGCTCCTGTCATGTAATGTAGGCCGACACTGCCAGGTGGGGCATGAGGGAAATGCCTGCGTTCAGACCCCACAAGATACCTGCTATTACCTAGACAGAAATGCTTCTGCTGTGCCCCTCTCTGATTTAGTTTCACTTTGTTACAAAGCCATGACTTTGCTGCAAGTGCATACGAAAACAAATAAACATGCTGCTTCTCTGTCCTCTCTATAATCTTAAAGTGACACTTAGGCACCATTCACATATGGCGTTTTCAATTTCTGCACGGTTTTTCGTGCGGAAAACCCAGTGGTACGAAAATGTGCAAAGTTTAACATACGCGCAAACTCTGTGCATTTGAGGCTATAGTAATATTTGCAAACGCTTGGAATCCAGCCAAAGAATCGTGCTCAGAGTTTTTTTGGGGACGCGCGTTTCTCTACCGTGCGGTCGGTTCCCTAATGAACAACGCACAGTGGAATGTTTTTTTGTTCTGTTTTGTTTTTTTAAATGTGTTTCTGCCTGTACTAATGTGTAAATGGAGAATAAACTCAGGAGTTAAATCTTAAAAATACATCCAAGTACCTTGACTATTAACAAAAAATATATCTTTTATGTGTATCACTCAGCTGTAGATCCTCAAATCATCTCTGAATTGGTGCTGACACTGTCCTTCCTTCTGGAGGGGGGCTACTTTTATTCCCCATGGTTCCTGTGTGTTGTAAAGTAGTCACCGCTCCAAGCTCGCTCCTGTCATGGACTACAATCTCAATACAAATAATTAGTAAACTAAACATGAGATTATATTCCATCACGAGAGTGAGCTTGGAGCGCTGGCTACTTTACAACACACACAGGGACCATGGGGAACAAAGGTAGCCACCCTCCAGAAGGAAGGTCAGTGTCAGCACCAATTCAGAGATGATTTGAGGATCTACAGCCGAGTGATACACAAATAAGATACATTTTTGTTATTAGTTAATGTACTTGAATGCATTTTTAGGATTCATCTCCTGAGTTTAGTGCCACTTTCAGCTGGCCATATCTGGCTGAATTGGATGAAATTCGAGCCATGGGTGGACCTGTTAGCACCACCCGATGTAACAAAAGTTGATTTCTAAATTGAAAGTCCCGGTGGAAAATTGTTGGCCAAACAGTGGCTGCGTTCACTCAGATGCAGTCACTGTTTGGTAGGGATGAACTCGGGTTCGGACTGAACGCGGTTCAAACCCGAGCTCCTCCGAACCCTCAGTTTGTCCCTCTACTTTCACTTTCAAACTGCTCAAAGTAGCCTGGAATCTGCACAAAGGTCTTCACCAAAGAAATATCTAAAAGGTAAGAAATATGTATGAATGGGAACGCATAGCAAACATATAGAGAGGGGTTTTCTCAAATCTGACTGCAAAAGTGGAAATACACATTAAAAGAGAACTATGGGGTAAACTGTTTATCCCATAATTCTCTTCAGGGTCACGGGAGAATATATACTAGCGTCCTCCCGTGACCCAAAGCTCAGTATGTAGCGAGCCACAGCCCGCTATATACTGAGAGAGCAGCAGCCAGGATGGATCCCCACAATACTGTCAAGATCCATCCAGCTAGCTGTTTGACAGCAGGCTCTGCCCATCTCGAGTTCCTCCACTCAGCGCTGGAGGATTGGAGAGGGGAGGGGGGAATCCCTGCAGGGTGCGGTGACTGACAGTCACCTCTCTCTGCAGGAAGATGATCAGGAAGTGAGCGAGCGACGGTATGCGCTCGCTCACTTTCCAATCAATAGAGCCGACGTGTGACAGTCTCATTGTCACAGGTCGGCTCTAACTATGAGTGGAAATTCACTCACCTCATAGTTCTCCTTTTTAAGCTCGTTGGGAATTTGTCTTTAGAAAGTAGTGGTATGATCATGTTCTCATTTAGGGCCTGTTCACATGATATCAGGTCCTGACCAGGTGCGGATCTGCAGATGCGGTGCTACTGATGCAGTGCGTTTTTGGCCGCGTTTTTGATGCGTTGCAGATTTTTAAAAAACATTTATTTTTTTTGCTTGAGTGGGGCTGTCAGTACGTTTTTGACGCGTTTTGCGTTTCCGGTCCGTTTCCTGACCGGACAAAATGTGACATGCAGTATTTTTCTGTCGTAACCTGAACGAACTGCGCACGTGAGAACTGTAGCCCATAAAACACATAGGGATACATTGGGATGCATTTTTAGTGCAGGAGCGTACGGATCCGGTCAGCACAGAAAACGGACGTCGTGTGAACAGGCCCTTAATGCATCTGTAAAGATTTGTCCTCCAATGTAAATAATGTTAAATGTAATTTGCACAAGTTATAGGTGTTGTCCTTGTTCTAATGGACTGCTTCTGTTGTCAGGTTTCTTTCCTTCCACTATATTTATGTCTGGACCTGAAGTGACTTCATTCCTTGTTACAAATGCAACGTCTCTCAATGTATCCCTTGCTGTCATTACAGACACCAGTAAGTTTAAAGTTTTGTCCTATATATTAAAACTGAGCCATATGTTATCATCTAAATCACTAACAATAAGATCCGCACAACACTAATATGTACTGTCTAATTTTAGCCACTGCACCTGTGGAAAGTTGCAATGGGACTAATAATACCGACAACTGGGCTTCAACTCATGTTGGGACACAGACGGTGAGTAAAATAAAACCAAGTAACTTTATAGATCTACAGACAAATGGTAACATATATGCTATCCTTTCATATCTATGAGCATATTTATTTATGTGAATTCTGTAATTTATTGAGATTTGATGTGTAAAGCCTTATTATCTGTGGTATAAGATAAGACACAAATAAAAATGAAATTAGTATTAAACTCTCAAACTTTTTAAAATAATAAAGATGTAACAAATATAAATTGCGCAGCAAAGCATTTCTTTACATTTTTGCCCAAACACAGTCATCATGTTTCCAAAGAGCTCCAGCTCTCTCAGCTCAGCTTCCCTGAACTTCCTGCCCAGTACAAGATTACAAGGGAAATAGAGCATTTCCAGCAGCTGACCATCTACTAGCTTGGAGAAGGGAAAAAATGAGGAGGGAGGAAGGATAAGGGAGCAGAGGAGAGCAGAGGAGTGGCTTGTCCTGCTGTGCCTGTGTGTTTGTGGATACAGTCCATGAATCCATCGCACTCAAAACCGCTGTTCCATGTAATAGACTGCTGCGGCAGTCGACGGATGGCAACCGCCTATAATCACAGAATAACATAGACACCGACACTCCAAGTACTGAATCAATGGCGTCTGTTTATTGACGCATGAAACATAGCACATTTGTCAAGGATACCGGCACAGGTGACCCCACACCTGCGCAGGTACCCACACAGGCAGACCAAACACTTATGACCACACCAGACAGGGCAGAATGTATTATATACAGTTTAATAAACAGAAAAACTAAACAACACCCAAAAGCAAAACATAAATAAGTAACATTAACCAGCCTACAAGCAGGTAATGGCAACAGGAGGACAAGCAGGTAATGGCAACAGGAGGAAAGGCAGGTAATGGCAACAAGAGGACAAGCAGGTAATGGCAACAGGAGGAAAGGCAGGTAATGGCAACAAGAGGTATCTAGGACTGCAAATGGGTAACCGGGCTCGGGACACAAACAGGGTACAGGACTGGTAACAGGACTCTGGACGGAAAGCAGGGTTCACCAGAACTGGGGACTCAGGGTTCAAGTTTCAGGAAACGATACTGAGCCATCATCCTGACTGCAGGGAGGGTTTAAATATCCTCCCAGGAAGCACCAGGTGATGGCTAAGTACTGGCAGCTGGGAAACACCCGCAGGTGAGCACTGGAGCTGCAGGTCTCAGCTCCTGCACCACCTAGAGGCGCTCTGGATCCTAACAACATTGCATCAAAAGCAACGTTTCAGGGTCTTCACTTTGCCTGATGAAGGGGATCCTGTGAGACCCGGAAACATTGCTTTTGATGCATCGTGCTGTGTTTCATGCGATTCAATAAACAGACGCCATTGATTAATTACTTGGAGTGCCGGTGTCTATGTTATTCTGTGTGTTTGTGCAGACACACAAGGGTGACTCCACAGGACCCTGCAAGGGTAAGGAGTCACGCTTAAACAGGATACCAGGGCCAGTACTCAGTGGACCAGTTGATTCTGCAGGAGACTAAAACTTTTAAACACTGAGGAGCAGCATTAAAAAAGTGATGTCATCAGCATTTGAAATAGCCTAAAACAGTTTGACTTTAATATTGCTGACCATACTGACACATTTGCATTTTTCTGGTAGAATGTATTTAAAGTCACAGTGACATCAAAGAAGAATCTAACTCGCTGTGCCGTCAGTGAAACTAATTGCTGCACTGAGGATCTGTGTGTTGTGGAAACGCTTCAAATTACAGCTTGTGAGAACGACAGACCCATCAGCAGTCTACTAATCCATGCCGAAATTTATATCAACACCACTTTTGTAGGCCTTGTATCAGGTAATGAGGGGAAATAAACTTGTGCCATTATTTCCTGAATGAGTACTAGTCAAATGGAGCAACAGTAAAAACTAAACTGGACCTCATTCTCTTTTCCACCTTTTCATTTGTACTTATATTGCTGAATTAGATGCCGACTTCTTTCTCAGTGCCTTTCAGCATTAATATACTGATATGATTTCTATTTATATAGATTTGAATCCAATATAGTTTATTCTGTTGAGTTTTTTCTTTTCACATAATTCTGTTACATAATACTGATTTTTAGATGATTATAGATATTAAAAGCATAGAAATGAAATATAAATTGTAACAGACAACAATAAACCTTATACTTTGAAATGCATACAGGGAGCACCACCTACCTGCTCAGTCCTTCACTTTTTGGTGTTATATTGTAATACACCAGTTGATTCTAGTCCCTTTTGTCGGTAATCCCAACAACTTCTGCATGTGAAGCAGTAGAGGTGCATTTACATAAGCATTAGTATCAGAAGACTGCCAGATGCAATTTGCTTCTAAGTTGCTTTGACTTGTGTGTGTTTTGATTTGGCATTCTAAGACTAGTCATCTAGTCAATGACTGGATTAGCCATGCTGAAGAGCTCAGACAGGGAGATCAGTCACCCAGTTAGAACAATAGGGGTTAACAGACACTTTTGCATGATATAAGTTGAAATTCCTCTAAAATGAAGTACATTTTGCATTATAGTTCAAATATTTATTTCACAGATAATAAAACTGTGATACCCAATCAAATATACCAACCTCTAGGATCCTGCCCATGTAACCTGACAGCTGGAGCGTGTGACATTCTTTGCTGCTGTGATCAGGTAAGGAGTTTATGCAATGGAGTTCTGTTGTGATACAAAGTCTGTGTCACTTTTTTGATGATATGTTGGGCTATTCCCAATTTAGTTGATTTATATCTGTAGTTTAGAAATAGTCCAGAATAGAAACTTTAGAGTATTCTCTAAAAAATCAGGAATACTTAAGAGAAGGGAATGTTTAGTATGGTTTAGTATGCGAGTTGGGTGGTTGGAATAACGCTCATGCTAGGTGTGCTTACGTGGGGGTACAGGTAAGTTGAAGTTCTAGGCTTGCATTTGGAAGAGGGTAGACAACTGCACTATCCATTGCCCTGGCCCTTTAAGTCTATGAGGGCCCCTATGCAGCTGAGATTCTCTCTCCTCGGGACTTTGAAAGTGGTTGTTTTTCAGGGATGCAATTCTACGGGCGACATGTTGCATATCTTGTGGATGTGCCCGTTTGCAATACATTTCTGGGCCAAAGTTTTTCGACTCTTTAAAAATTTATTTGGTAAATCGATCCACAGATACCCATGGTCAGCTCTTTTACACATTCCCATAACAGGTTTGACTAAACATCAACAGACTTTGGCTCTTGCTAGGAATTGGCGGGAAGCGGTCATCCCTTTTTGGAAAGTCAAACCAAGGTTAGATAATATTATAGTTAATGAACGTTTGACAAGTATCTTGGAAGATAAACACAAGAAGTGCTTGGGTATTTGGAAGCCTTGGATATATTTTGTCAACTCGGATATGAATCTTAGTAGTTTGCAGTGGCTTTGATTCCCCCGAAGTGTGGTTCCCCAGGTTGGAGGGTTAGGCCTGCCCTCTGCTATCGCATTTTACTTACCTGTAGTGTACATCTGATGGTTCACTGTCCTTTTATGTTCTTCTTTTCTAATTCCTTGTGTTTCTTTCCTTTACCTTTTCTTTTTCTCTACTCCTGAATGTCCCCATCATGCCTTTTTCATGCTGGGGTTTGCTATAGATTGACTGACTTATTTTGGGTAGCTGGAACACTCCACCTATCTTCCTTTCATTTAATAATGTCTGTATATTGAATTATTGACATTATTTCAATGTCCTGTATTTTACTGTGTTACCACTCTTTATTTGACTGATTGGGATCCCAGTATGTTAGGTTCTATACCACCTGATGTATTCTATGGTTTTCTTATGCATTTGTATATATACAATTTCTTTGTTCTAATATAAAAATAATGTAAAAAGATTGAAATTGAAAGTGGCAGTACATTTAGGTGCCCTTCCAATCTGCACAAGCCCTCTTCTGATCCCAATCCTCTTTTTTTCTGCACCCCATAAACAAGCGAAACCCAAGTGACAATTTGCATGCACAGTGTCCACCCTGACCTCTGACAAAAAAGTAATCGGACAATCAACAGCCAAACAGTTTTTGCCTGAAAGACCATTTACAGGGTTACTCACAAAAGGGTGAAGAGTTTGGAGAAGGCAGGAGAAGTGAACAATCTCGAACAACATAGCTGAAATGGAAAGTGAGCTGTATTGGAGGATTTTTCCAAATCGGCTACTTTGCCCTAGATTGTTCACTTCTGTTTTCTTCAAACTCTTCACCCTTTTGTGAATAACCCTGTTAGAAGCAGGAGGTGGACATACACCCAACTTATGGGATGGAGTGGCCTTGATGCTGTGCAAAGAGGATCAGAGGTACAGGCTTGCCAGGCAGACACTGCAGAGGCATTTTTTCACTTTCAATTTGTTGCATAGGTGAGTGGGATTGAAGGCAGGTTATTGGAGTCCACAAATGTTCCAAAATGGGAAGAAAGAATGAGCACCAAATTATATTTTTTCCCCGACATAAATATATTCCATTTAAAGTACACTTTATAGTCAGTACTAGTTAGCTACAGTGATTCCCTAACTCTTGGATTTCTGCCCAGGGACCCTTCTTGTTTATAACCATTCCTGACAAGGCAGGGCTACTCTTGGTACTCTTTATATGGATTTTCTTTTACAATTTCTGTTAACAATATATATTTTGTCTGCTCTTTTTTTTTTTACAGGAATGCAACTCAAGCATGAAGGCACTTTTTAATGGCTCCTGTTACTCTGGCATTTTTGGTGGCAATGTTTCTCCACCATTTGACCAGCTTTGTAGTGTCCAGGAAAAGAATCATGCACCAGACTGGTTTCCCTTCCTGTGTGTCCAGTCCTCCATGGACAACTCTCCATTTCTTGGCTATTTCTATCAGGGAGACACTAGGTAAGCCTCAGTTAGTATGCAAATTGTTTTGTATACCTTTAATATTTTGTATTAAGATGTGTAAATGTGTGTGAAAAATATAAGCTGCAGATCCTTCATCTTAGAGTCTTCATTTTTGGATTTCACTTCACTTTTATATTAAAAAGAGCATCTCCGGAGTAAAAGTAAAATTAGTAATTTAACTTCTGTTATCCAGGAAACATGACAATTATACTAAAGTCAAAAAGTTCACTCAATTTACCTCTAACGTTTTAGCTGCCAGGCCTTGCGCTCCTCTTTTTTTAATTTGGCTGGCCTGGCTTTTAGAGCATGTGAAAGACCCCACCCCCCAAACCATACATTTACATTTTCTGAGAGCACAGGACCAGTAGAATAAAAAGATAATGGGTGTGTTGTAAAGTAGCCAGCGCTCCAAGCTTGCTCATGTGATGGACTACAATCGCAATACAAATTAGTGAACTTAATTTGTGAGGGTAGTCCATCTCTAGTGATCTTTGAGCTTGGCTGAGTCTAGGGCAGCGGTTCTCAACCTGTGGGCCGCCACTCAAAAGTGGGTCGCAACCCATTGTTGAGTGGGTCGCCGCATCCATTTCTGTTGCACTGGGTTAGAGCCTCTTCAGCCTCCTCCTTGCGTGGCAGTGTCAGTCAGCGGGAGGACAGCAACGGCTGTGAATATAAAAGTGCCGCTGTACACACTCCCTGGCCGCTGCAGCGACATCTAGTGGACGGGGGAGTGTTTACAGCAGGACTTTTATATTCACAGCCGTTGCTGTCCTCCTGCCTCCCATACAGTGCAGGCTCTGCAGGAGGCGGGCATCTTAGCAGTGCTGGGGCTGAGAAGGCTGCATGGAGACAGAGCAGGTAGCAGGGGCTGGGGAGGGCTTGCATTCTTGTGAGTCTGCTTCTATTTTTATTTCTAAGTCCAGTGCGTTGCTATGTCCCGAGTCCAGTGCCTTATTAAGTCCCGAGTCCAGTGCCTTACTAAGTCCCGAGTCCAGTGCCTTACTAAGTCCCGAGTCCAGTGCTCTGTTGGGGGTCACCACAACTTGGCAAATGTTACCAAGGGGTCCCGGCCCTAGAAAGGTTGGGAACCACTGGTCTAGGGGAAGCCTTTATGATCAGCTTTTGACAAGGACTGAGCAGACTGTGCTTGGGTTTATTTAATAGAAACCTTCCCCAGCTGCACGTACTTTTCTTCTTTTCTCTCGAATACCTCTCCATCTGATCACTGGGAATGAAGAGAGGAAGCCTTATATAATCTCCAAGTCACAACAGGAGGCGAGTCTGTCTTCAACATCCCAAGTGACAGTGCTGGGTACCTGAGCAGCCAATCACCAGCACTGTCATGTTAACTCCCAGAAGTTTAAAAGGAGCAGTGGTGGAGTGAAGGGAAGGCATGTTCAGCTGGAAAGGGCAGCTATCAAATAAAATATAACTGCTTAAATATTTTAGCTATGTATAGAGGCATTGAAAAGTAAAACTATGGGTGTATCAAATATCAAGGAGCATTGATATATTTCCTTTCATTCAAATAAATAAATATATATTTATTCTGTGTATTTTCCATTCATTTATTGCTTTTCCTTGTATACAGAAACCCTTCCCAGACTCCATCTTTTAATCTGAGCTTTCAGTCTATTGTCCAAACAACAATTAATTACAAGGAAGGAAATCCCATTTTAATGAGACGGAATGGATTCGGTGAATTGTTTACTCTTCCACAGGTAAGTCCTAATTTATCAGACACTATCAGTGTGCGTGTGTGATTTATATATCTGTATGTAGGTGTAGGCAGAGGCAAACTCATAGTCTATTTAACAAAATTTCAAGCTTTAATACCAGACAGCATAAAAATTACATGCTTAAAAAAAAAAAATACCAGACAGCAATAAACAAAAAGGGTTACATGCATCCTGCCAAAAAATAATTTGTCATAAAAAAAATAAAGTTCTGCTCCACTGAGCCTTACTGAGTATTAGTCCTTTGAGCTGGGTCTGTTTCCTCTATGGGACCAGTTACAGTCCATCCACAGATTCCTGACAGGCTTGGTTCCAAACACAGACACTTGCTGCATTCAGCACACTGCCTCTCTTTCCATTGAGACGCACACTCTCCCAGCTAGGTCCAACTGCACACTACTGAAGACCTGTGCATTCCTCACCATACTATGGTCCACAGAATTAGGAGTCTGTCCCACACAGAGCTCTATCAGACTCCTAGTAAAACCAATGTGTTTTACCAATACAGGGTAATTTAATAACAAGAAGTACTTTTTTGAAAATAACAACAACATTTTCCTTCTCGTCCTTTGAGGGACTCAGGGAGTCTATAACTTTCAGGTTATAAACTGGCAAACAAAAAACCTGTAGGCCAGCCGAGGATAATCCCTCCTGCTATCAGCATGCCCCAGTTTCTCGCTAGTGTGTTTTGCTAGGATGCACATCGTTTCTTCAGCTCTGCTCTGCAAAGAAGAACCTTGTTTTTTTAATATTACTTATAGGCATCATTCTTGTTGATTAAACATGGGACCAGGGGTAGATGATGACCACTGTAGACCAGGGGAAAACTGAAGCTTTGCCCCCCCCCAAGTACATTACTTGACCTTGATGGTCTTATCATAAATTCCATAAAGAGTCTTCTGTGTGAATCACTTCACAAAACATATTGTTCAGGTTTGGAAGGAGTTTGCAGTGTTCCATCCCTGCTGAGTTTATTGGATGTGCAGTAGAGATTTGCCTCTTGACAACATCGGCCCGACAACACTCATGAAAGACAAGTGACTTGAATCACCAACCAGTGAGTTCTCAATATGTTGAGGACTCGACTGAAAGACGCAATATTCTGGCAGAATTAAACCCTGCCTCTCTCTCCCCCAAACACCGACATATATTATTTGCATCTTTGAAGGTGAACTCATTTTTTTTTGCTGTGGGTGGAATAGGGAACAGTTGAAGCACCCATTTAGGTTTTTATTGCTGTATGTGTCCACAGGGTCTAGATTTAAACATACTTTTGTCCTGCTGATTTCCTTTCACTTTCTGTTGTGTCTCTGGAACAAGAAGTTAGATGAAGTCTTCTTCATGGGGGTAAAGTCAGCAAAAGAATCTACCAGTTCTTAACTTTTCACTGCTCTTCCCAAAATGTTTTTTACAAAGTTTCAAATTAACTTATCCAGGGTTTTTCGCACTCCTCATAACTGACATAAATAATACCGTTTTTTTCAGAGTTTTTTTTACATTACACACAAAGTCCTTTTTATCAGGAAGGCCGTTCTGCTGTTTTATACTGGGAATATCTGGGCTACACTGATTGTTTCTGTAAATATTCTGTGTTGCCTTGGCTTTTGTATACCATATACATGTTTAAATTTGGAAAGGAATAGCTAACCATTATTTTTTTCCAGAAATCTACCATTGGAAAATGTGTGAATGCTGCACCTGTAGCCTACTTACAAGATTTCAATGTTTCTTGTGTCGCTGATATAACTTCATGTTCAGATGTTCTCACAGTTGACTTGAATGTACAGGTTAACTCTGGGAATGAAGGTGAGTCGTGAAATCATTTCTCTAAAAGTCTGGTGGTTTTTTTAATGGATCACTACACAATAAAAGCTTTTTTCCTCTTGCTGACCCTAGTCATATTCATAGTTCTTCTAGGTCTCATCATTCCAACAGTACAGATTCAGAACACAAGTGTGGACATTGTTAATACAGGTATACTGTTGAACTAATATCATATATCTTGTTTCTTTTAATTCTAATGAATCTTTGTGTCTAAAATAGACTGTGGTGTTTATCGACTTTGTAGGAGCTGCCCTGTCTCAAGCTGTGCAGTGTGATGTGATTGTGTCAGCAGACTACACCTTCATTTGGAACGCCAATGTTATAACAGAAATAAGAGTCTCCATCGTTACTGCTAACATAAGCTTGACTCATCAGGGTAATTTATTATTTTCTATATTTTTTTCTGATGGTGGTATTTAATGGAGAATCCAACGATAATAAAAATAGGCCACTGTTCTCAAGTCTGGCATCCCGTAAGACTGCTTACAGCTATTGAATGACAGTCGGCTGTGCATGCATGACTCATCTGCTGACAGATTTCTCTAAGATCATTCTATAACCTTACAGGTTTGCATTAGGTAAATTCAAATGTTTGTGCCTATGAAGGAGGGAGGGGGTAATGCTTCAGGAACAGCTGTCTTAAGGGGAACAATAGCAGTTGGTCATAGAGGGGCCCACAAGCATGCAAACATATGGACATTCTCTAATGTCTGCAAGTACATTAGCTCAGACAAGACTCTCTTTCTGTACCCTTGATAAGATGCATAACATGATATGTTAAGATGGATTAGTGAAACATGTTATCACAGTGTGGGTGGATTAGGGGAAAGCGTGTAACTTTATATTTAAAAATGTAGGAAGGTATGTTTTATGTTGTTAGCCATGGTGGTATTAAAGTGTTTTTACAATTTGTTTCCACAGCACAGCTATCACAGCGATTTACAACGACATTTCTCACCAGGAATAGTACAACAAATGTACTCTCTGGAAATCCAGGTAACATGGTTTCAAAGTACTTTTCGTTGCACCTTGTCACATTTACTATATATTCTATAATGTGAGCATGTTGCTGCCACGTTTTTTGATGCTACAGGGTAAAAATTGCATTATGTGAACTAGTCAGTTTTTTTGTTTCAGCTGTTTACTGTATATGTACAAAAAGAGATATTCAAATACAGACACTCACTGTACCTGTTACATCATCAGGCCAAGGGGTTTGTAAGGGGTGGTGCTTTTTTTTTTTAAGTACTGGCAAGGGCATGTTAGCTGGTATATATTTAAACAAGAGCATTTAAATATACATACTGTGTGTGTGTGTGTGTGTGTGTGTTGTGACATATACCATGTGATTTTTTTTCTTTCTCTAGTACATAGATAAGATTTCATGGTCATAAAAGAGAAAGCTGACAGTCAAAGTTTGCGAGATTGCAGCAACAGACAGGTCATTGCAAACTTGCCAACTGTACACATTGTTTTATCTACCAAGTTTACTTCTTTCTGTTGCAGGTTACCAAGTTGGAAAGCCAGTCATTGTTGGTAATGGGACTATTCCTTTCAATAAAAGTACTCTGAAGGTCTGGAAACCTGGTAAACTGCTGTGTATTTTTACAAAATTAATGAAGGGGTAAAGCCTCCTACAGCTTAAAGTGGAAATCATAGGGTTAATTAGAGAAACAGACCTTTGGCCAGAACCTCCTCTGGCTGGCAGACTTGCAATGCTCCTTTTAAAGATAAAGCACAGTATTGACCCTGTACTACTCGACTCTATAGACTTTGAGTTGCCTGTACATTAGCTTATGGACTTCTTTATTGGCAGCCTATAGAAGTCTATACAACTGATTGGTGCAGGCACATTACTATTCTCAGAGACAAGATATAAAGTCCTCTGGTGTGTGCCAGCTGGTGGAATGTAGGCTCTGATCTAAGGTCTACTTTTTTATTAACCATATGGGGCTATTATACAATTTTATTTCCATGTTTTTATGTTGTTGTTTTATATCTGTGTTATGTGAAACACAGAACTGTTTGATCTCATTGAAGGGGAAATTTTAAAGCGGGGAAGAAGCTGTGCATGAGAGTATGGACATGCACTGTTTTTATAGTGCTTTCACCTTAACATGGTAGAGGAACTGAAAGGCAGTTTTAGGTGGTTTTACAGGAGGCCATGGAGAACCTCACTAGTTTAGCGATGTGCATTCATATTACAGTGGGTACACTGGTGGCAGATAAAGAGCATTCCAGCTTCTGAATGCTGGTTAGTGGCATGCTGCTACCTGTACTCACTATAGGTTTAGTAAACTGATCCTAAGGCTTCCAGTAAACTGACCTCTACAGTTTTCAGAAAGTCATTATTTGCATAGGGCTATTTAACCTCTACATGACATCCCCCAAATCTGGTAATTGACTGCTGAAATGCCAATGGAGAGTGTCAAGTGTGCACTATACCTGGAAGTATTAGATTTTGCTCATGGCTTAATAAGTGGATCAGGGTGGTGGAGGAACGCAGTAAAGTTAAGAGCAGGCTTCTACTGCGTATCTTGGGATTCTACCAAAGGGGTTTCTTTGTTATGAGAACAGGTTTTCTGTTAAAACTTGGGTTTCTGAGTTTCAAAGATTTAATTCAAATAAGCTGAACGATATAAATATTAATTTGAATTACAAATAACAATGTGATTTAATCATCTCCTTTTTTTCAGTTGGGGAAAGTTTGTGTTCCACAGCTGGACAAACACCTGTCTTGTTTGGACAAAATGTATTTTCTGGCTGCCTCTTTGAAGTTGTCGGTGAAAACTGCACTCGACTGAGGTGTGACTTTTAATTTGTACTACAACTTAAAGAATGTGGAATATATTTATAAACTATCCGCAGGGCCCCTCACCCTTGAAATATCTGTAAACGTTAAATCTGTATGTATATGCACTTAACGTTCTTTAGGTGTTTCGTTACAAGGCAATGTATTTTCGAATGTTTCTTTGCATGTAATACTGTATTATGGCCACTAGATGGCACAGATGAATATAGAAAATACTTATTTTTATCTTTTTGTTTGCTAATCAGTGCCTGCTAGTGGCCATAATGCAGTATTACAGGGGGTGGGGGGCATTCGAAAAAACATTGCCATAAAGTACCGCAGCGCTGAATACTGAAAAATGGCCTGGATGGGAAGGGGGTTTAACACCGCGGATGTCAACTGGTTAAATAGTATCTAAAGCCAAAACATTTTTTAGTTTTGGATAGAATTAGGAAGTGTTAGAACCCTTGTCATGTTTTGATTGTTATATAGAAGGAAGGATTTTTGCCCAATTTGAGACCATGTATATTGCAAGATCCAAAGTTTGTTGTGACCCATACTTTCAAAATATAATAGTATAAGGAATATAATGTGAAAGCTTGATGTATTACAAAAGGACACAAAAGCAATTCAAATGCAAGGACCACACACAGAGAACAACCCAGATTAACATGTCTCAGTAAGTATCAAAGAATCAGACCATATATCAGCCATTCACAGCATGCATAAACTTGAACATATGGTTGGCAGCAGGGAGGTTCTTCCATGAAATCCAAATCAAAGTTGACCTATATTAGAGCACTGGCTGGACTATGTAAGATTATGATGGCTCAGTAAGTATTGCCAAAAGAGATCATATATCTGAAAAGTTATTTACAGTCATTCACAGCAGGTATCCTGCGACGTCCATGAAATGAGGGTAATCCGCAGACATGGTGTTTTGCAGCCACACACAGTCACAGTATTGGGCAGGTCACCCTTCATATGCCTTATGAGCAGGGCTTTAAAAATTTTAGGGTGTCTCACCAGTCAAAAATGTAACCAGTCAGCATGACAGGACTATGGCCTTGCAATTTTAATATAAAAGACGGGGTCACGTCGGGTAAAAAGACACCAAACATGTCAAGCCTTAAAATTGTGTGCGCGCTCGAAACCTCAAAAAACGATAATACCCAAAATTGGCCATAGGCGACGCTTTAAAAGCTTTTACCGCTCATCAGTTTAGTGTTATCAGTGATTGATGGCCCTAAAATGATTGCTCTCACTGCGACGTTCGCGGGCTGCGGATCCCGGGATTGAAGGTGAGGGGTCGGTCGGGCGAAAAAACCAGCACATATAGACGATCAGCGGGCTATGGAGCCGCCGATCGTCTATATGTGAAACACCCGGTAACGGGTTGTTGCATTGGTCGGGTTAGGGTTAACCAATGCTGCAACCCACCAATGCTGCAGTGCCGTCCGTCCGTTTAAAAAAAAAAAAATTTGGACAGATAGAGCAGATAGAGTTTTTTTATTTTTTACTATATAATGAAAAAATTAGCGTAATTTTTTTGGGGGGGAAATATGTTTTCCCTATGTTATGTTTAAAAACATTTATTCATACCCATATTTTGTAAAATGTAAAAGACGAGGTCACGTCGGGTAAATAGACACCAAAACATGTCAAGCATTAAATTTGTGCGAGCCTGCAAACTCGAACGAGAAAAAAACGACCACACCGAAAATTGGCCATAGGCAATGCTTTAAACGCTTTTACTGCTCATCAGTTTAGTGTTATTAGTGATTAATGGCCCTAAAATTATTGCTCTCACTCTGACATTTGTGGTGATATTTAACATGTGCGGCACAATAGGCGCAATCGTTGTTTTCGCACATAGGCGCACCCAACGCATGTTTGTGTGTGTATATGGCGGGGGGTGGGAGGGTTTTTTTATGCTACTTAAATTTTTATATTACTCTTTTTTTTTTTTTTTACACTTAGCAATAAAGTTATCACGTAGGGGGCTAAGATGCTCCATATGTGATAGCCAATTAGCATAACAGGTTCTCTTTATGGAGACATCAGGGGACTCCAAGACCCCTAATGTCACCTGTAGCCGGGAATGACAGCTGAATGCGGAAGTGATGTAAAAACCGCAGCTAATACAATCGATCGGGCGTCGCTTGAATGTAAAGCTCCCGGCCGGCCGTTTAATTACAACGGCCGGCCAGGAAGCTACTCGTCCGGCTCCGGCGTCCTCTCGTCACAGACGAGAGGGCGAGTGGAATTTTCAAGCCCTGCTTATGAACTGCAAGGCTATTAAGCAGGATCACTCACTCAGCATTACGGGGGGACGCAAGTAGCATGTTCTTTACCAAATGCTTCTAGCAATGGGCAACATACATCTTTACTTGCTATTTTGACTGATAACTTTTGCCGGCCTCACCTGCTTGTCCTTCTCTTTATGGAGACCTGTAGGGACACGCAGAAGAAGTCCTAGTCTAGAGCTATACATCACACTACAGTCATTTTTAGACTATGTTCATCTTAGACCTCTTTGCCGTGTCAAGTGTTTCTTCATTAGAATGTTTACTGTGTTCTGACATGTTGCTGCTGGGACAAATTTAAGGATTACACTTTGTAGATGCTATGCTAAAAAAAAAAACGTAATTTATTTATATGGCCTGATTGGATGTGTATCTGGCTTTTATTTTTAATTTGCACTGTTGTAATATCTTGAATGCTCACCCCAAGTAGGCTTCAATATGTTCCTCCATATGAGTAACAGCATGGTGATGTACTTAAGTTGATTTAGAACTATATACAGCCTACTATAGATTACTTTCAGTCGTTTTAGTGATGTTGCCAAGTCATTACCTTTTCTTGTTCAGAAATTGGGGTATTTTTTTATTTTTCAAAAACATTTTATTGAGAGTATCAAAAGAACAGTAAAAAGTAGAAAAAGGGGTTGTACAATGATATCAAAAACAAAGATCACATGAAGAATATAAGAGAAACATTTTCAATGGGTAAGGATATACAAAAAGACCATTAACATGCAACATAGTTGGCATATTCAATAATGTTAATAGGATATGGAAAAAGGCTAAGTGTCCATTTCTGGGTTTCAGCATGAATCAAACATAGTAAGAAACAAAGACTGTCATTAACAGAATGAACAAAAAATAAATAACAGGTGAAGGCAAACAAGGAGTTCCCATGGCTGTGCTGCGGATTGGATGGCATTGTGGTTATTGAGTGAGAATCCGTCAAGACCTCACTTGTGCTTTGTTTGGCTGACCTTTATTAGCAAGAGAACGGATCTGAAGAACTTTCATTGCTGCTGGTGAATGCTGAACTTGCTGCATTGCTATTATCTACAAGGGAAAAAAAATCTATTTATGAATGTCTGCCTCAATACAACATTGATATTTGATGATCATTCTTACAACTTGTTTCTTAAATTGATTCATAGTCCAAGATCAAAAGACCAATCCACAAATTGTATATATTTATACGCACACACCTATATTACCAAAGGTATTGGGACGCCTGTCTTTACACGCACATGAACTTTAATGGCATCCCAGTCTTAGTCCTTAGGGTTCAATATTGAGTTGGCCCACCCTTTGCCGCTATAAAAGCTTCAAATCTTCTGGGAAGGCGTCCACAAGGTTTAGGAGTGTGTCTATGGGAATGTTTGACCATTCTTCCTGAAGCGCATGTGTGAGGTCAGGTACTGATGTTGGATGAGAAGGCCTGGCTTGCAGTCTCCGCTCTAATTCATCCCAAAAGGTGTTCTATCGGGTTGAGGTCAGGACTCTGTGCAGGCCAGTTCAGTCAAGTTCCTCCACCCCAAACTCGCTCATCCATGTCTTTATAGACCTTGCTTTTGTAGACTGGTGCGCAGTCGTGTTGGAACGGGAACTGTTCTGAAACTGTTCTCACAAAGTTGGGAGCATGAAATTGTCCAAAATGTCTTGGTATGCTGATGCCTTAAGAGTTCCCTTCACTGGAACTAAGAGGCCAAGCCCAACCCCTGAAAAACAACCCCACAGCATAATCCCCCTCCTCCAAACTTTACACTTGGCACAATGCAGTCAGGCAATTACCATTCTCCTGGCAACCGCCAAACCCAGACACCTCCATCGGATTGCCAGACAGAGAAGCGTGATTCGTCACTCCACGGAACACGCCTCCACTTCTCTATAGTCCAGTGGCGGCGTGCTTTACACCACTGCATCCGACGCTTTGCATTGCACTTGGTGATGTAAGGCTTGGATGCAGCTGCTCGGCCATGGAAACCCATTCCATGAAGCTCTCTACACACTGTTGTTGTGCCAATCTGAAGGTCACATGAAGTTTGGAGGTCTGTAGCTATTGACTCTGCAGACAGTTGGCGACTTCTGCACGCTGTGCGCTTCAGCATGCGCTGACTCCGCTCTGTCATTTTACGTGGCCGACAACTTCGTGGCTGAGTTGCTGTTGTTCCCAGTTGCTTCCATTTTGTAGGTGTTCAGCAAATGCTCCAATATAGGACAACTTTGAAGTGGATTACATGGAGGAACCTCCCTTATGTTCAAGTTTATGCATGCTGTGAATCACTGATATATGGTCTATATGGTCTGATTCTTTGATACTTCCTGAGACATCTTAATCTTCCATTGTTTGAACTGGACTTCAGTGAGCTGGCATTTGGTGTGTTCTCTGTGTGTGGTCTTCTCATGTTAATTGTTTTTATACTGTTGGCTCTTCCAGTGTTTACTAAAAAAAGACAAACAAAGCCCAGAAAGTAAAGGAGGTTGAACTATCTGAACGTGTCATACAGTATATTGGTTCAACAAACAGTGAGCTCTTTAGCAGATAACCTCTGTGGAAGCTCGGTAGATATTTGCACACAGCAGAACCAGGGCGGACTCACACTCTTAGAGCACAGCTATTGTCACACATTTAATGGTTTTTGTTATCTCTGTTTAGGCACATACTTTACTTTTCTGTACTTTTTTGTGTATTCGCATAGTTATTGCTCTTGAAGCTAAAGTTTAATCTGCTTATATTTTGCCTTTTCTGGTTCCTCTCTCCACCCTTCATCATTATGCTAATGATACTTTTAAATTAAACCTTTCAATTTATATTCCATAACTTGTTTTAGACCCACTGACATCCCTAAGTCTCTGTGCTTCTCTATACAATGCAGGCAGAATGGCTGGTGTGGGCAGACTGGCTCCAGTAGGGTGCTGTACATAGCTTCCTGAAAACATCACAGAACCCTTTCTCTGTACACTTGTCAAGAGCCCTCAGCCTTTGTTTGAGCAGTGGGCTGTGTCTTTTGAGGTTTATGCAAATATCAAAATGCCTGGATAGGCGAATGCCAGTCTGGGAGAGTGGCTGTTCGTAGGCAGACTGGATTTGCAAGCAAACTGCCCTGGGTAACACCCACATGTAATGGCATGCAAACGTCTTGTGTCTTTTTATTGCAGGGAGAAAGCACTACAGTTCCTGCGATCACTGATTACAGTCGATCACATTGCCATGAGAGGCAACTCAAATGTCAGCGACCCGAGTGAATGGGCATCTATAATGTGTGAGTATTGTGGATCTCAGGGGAAAATGTTGTTCACTTTGTGGCTATGTCTGTGTCATTTCTAAAATAGATTTATATTTCATCCTGAAATCTGCTCAATGGAAACCAACAGTTAGCTCAATGTTTTCTGTTATTAGCATTCTATATATAGTCTAGAGACTTGGTTCTCAACTGGTGGGTTGTGACCCAAAAGTGGGTCGCGACCCCGTGTTCAGTGGGTCACCGCATGCCTCTCACTTTTTTTTAGGTGAGAGGCTCCCACTAGCACAGCAATGTCAGTCCTCATGGCAAGCTACCATTCAAAATAAGCTGCCCGGTGCCGAGTGTCAGCTTGAGGTGAGGTGGATGGGATGGGGCTATGGCCGCGAGGGAGCGCCATCCATACGTGCATTGCTTACAGCTCCCTCATGTGCCCTGTAGAGGTGACTGTACCGGAATAACATCACATTCTGGCTCCCGGCACCTATGAAGGGCATGCAAGGGAACTGTACAAGCAATGCACATATGGATGGAGCACAGCAGCACACACTGGACCTCAGGCTGAGGATCCACTCCAGTTCTCATAAGGTAGGGAGACTGGGTGGATCTTAAATTATTATTTTTTGGGAGTGTGTATGTGTGTGTGTGAGAATGTCTGTGGTTGTGCGTGTCTGCCAGTGTTGTTAAGGAGGCCCGTTCACACTAGTACAGTGCGTTAAACGCACAGTCCCATGCGATTAAGGCACCGCATCATGCAAAATCACATCTACCGCAAATTCTGATGTAGGAGGTGTGTTGCATTGCCATTTATTTGAATGGTACCCCAAACGCACCTCCCACCCACAGTTCGATCACCCACACCGGAATGTGCGGTACCGCAATGCCGTGCGTTCTAGTGGGGTGCGACTTGGGCATGACTTAATGACCAAGGACAAATGTGGGTCCTGAGGTTACACAGGTTGAGAACCACTGCTCTAAAGTAAGAACGTTTTTCCAATCAAATGCCATGTATTACTTCTTATATTACAAGCATCTAGTATTTCTCAGTACTGGAAAATGTTTTCAATGAACTGTCTATTTTTATACACGCCTATAATAAATGACGTTCTCTGAACTTAGTCCTTGAGTGACATTGGCATATTTTTTAACAGCAGAGCTGTGGTACGAAGTATAAAATGTAATTTAGGCTTGGTATAGAAAGGAAGATCAATTACAAGTTTTAGTCCTTATTCACACCTTGGGCGAAAGCATTTTTGGCGCTTTTACGCGCATTTTTGATGCACGTTTTATGTGCATATGGCAAAAAGCGCGTTTTTGTGAGTAGATTGTAGCTCATTGATGTTAATCAGCAAACGCACATAAAAACATGCAAAAACACAGCAAACGTGCGCTTTCAAGCGTTTCCTATTCAGTCTATGGGGACAGAACGAGCTGTAATATGCCAAAAAAAAAAAAGCTCCTGTACTTTTTCCAGCGACAGGCGTTTTACTTATTGTGACAAAATGCTCAGATGTGAACAGAGCCATAGAAATGAATGGGATTTTTGGGGGGGCATATTTTTTGAGCGTCTTTAAGGGCAGAAAAAGAGCTGCAAAACGCTCAGTGTGAACCAGGACTTAAGGAAGTGATGAAATGTTTTCTCAAGATTACTGCAGTCTGCAGTCATGCAATTTGGCTACAACCTCAGGCAACTTTGTTCATGCATGTGCACTATCTATGAGCATGTGCACAATGCCAAGGAGGTGACAATTGCTGGTATTGTAGGCCAGCATCCTTGATGAAATAGCAGAAACATTGTCTTTCTTTGTATATAATATTAAACAAGGCAAATTGCACGTGTTTTTCATAGCAAAACATCAGGTTTCGGCGTTATTTTTTTTTACAAAGTTTGGTTGATCTGTGCCACACCTCCACTGGTTATTAATACTGTTTTAAAAATGAATGAATTAGTTAACTAAAGTGTATTTCTACTCTCGCAGCCAAATTGGGATAACACCTACTTTATATTTGTTATAGGTTCCTAGTCCTATAGCATGATTAAAAAAAAAAATCCCCTTACATTTATACTTGCTGTTCGCTAAAAAAAAATTCCAAAGCTGAAGTTTTTTTCCTGCTTTGTAATGTTAGAGCGGGGTGGGGAGTTATTGTTTACCTCATTATCAGTTCTAAACTAGATCTGAACACGTTCTGTCCTAACAAAGGTTATAGGTCTCAGGGCTCGTGTTCTGAACTGTATGTCTATCCCCTTTATGTCCCTCTACAATTTTACTAAGTTGTTCAGAGTAGCCTGCAGTCTGCCTAAAAGGCCTGCTCTAAAACAGTGGTTCTCAGTTCTCAGTGTAACCTCAGGACCCACATTTGTCCTTGATTGTTACGTCACGACCCAAGTCGCACTGCAGTGGAATGCACGGTATTGCGGTACCACGTATTCTGGTGCGGGCGATTAAACTGTGGGTGGAAGGTGCGTTTGGGGTGCCATTCAAATGAATGGCAACGCAATGCACCTCCCACACCAGAATGCGTAGTAGATGCAATTGCATGGTACAGTGCAATAATCGCACGGGTCTGTTCGATTAACGCACTGTACTAGTGTGAACGGGCCCTCAACACTTACACACACACAACCACAGACACAATCTCTCACACATTCTCAACCACACATACACACTCCAGCTGTGCTGTGATGCAGCTCCATCCATATGTTCATTGCTTGCACAGCTCCTCTGCATGCCTTGTAGAGATGTCGGGAGCCAGAATGTGATGTCACTCTGGTCCAGGCACCTCTACAGGACATGCGAGGGAGCTGTAAGCAATGCACGTATGGCTGGAGCTCCCTCGTTGCCCACCCTACCTTAAGCTGACACTCGGTGCCGGGCTGCATATTTTAAATGGCTGCTTGGTGCGAGAACTAACAGTGCTGCGCTAGGGGTAGGTTAAGGAGCCTCTCGCCTAGAAAAGCGGAAGGCATGCGGCGACCCACTGAACACGGGGTCGCGATCCACTTTTGGGTCAGGACCCACCAGTTGAGAACCAAGTCTCTAAAGAAACATATAGAAAGGTAAGAAAACTAAAAAAAACTTGTTATACACATTGTGTAAATGGGAACACATAACAAACGTGGAAATCCACTTTAAACATTTCCTATCTCTGGTAATATTTGTTTACAGATAGGATGTGGTATACATCGTTGGAGTGTGTAAATGAATCAAGTGATATACTTTTTTGTTTAGATGATCTACCCAGTACTACATGTACAGGAAACTGTGCTGCCGAAAACGTGATGTGTTTAAAGGTACCATCAAACATGAACATTGAGATCATTACAGCAGTGACTGGTGCAGTGGAAGGAATTCCGCAGGAAGAGATTTTGGCAGCCAAAGTCAGGTAACATCCACTGCGATGCACTGTAGAAGGTGCGTTTTATCCTATTTGTCTGTACTTTAGCCTTGTGTTCCCATCCTGAATGACATGCAGCCGTGCTTTATGTGTTTGATTATTATGTGTTTTATTTGATCTGTACTTATTTTATTACTTTTTTAGTTTCTCAACTATTAATGTGGAGTGTGTGTCTGCCTGTAACTTGTCTCTGCCACTCACAAACTCTGTGCAGTTCATCCAAGTCCCAGCTCAGCCACTGGCCACTATTACAAGGTAAATAAGGAGTATGGTACAGATAAAGGAAAGATGTATATGTACTGATGCTGTCTCCAGTGTCATTGTCTATCCCCCTGAACAATATTTGATTGAATAACTGTGGGGCAGGAGAATTGCCTATATGCTGCTCATAGACTTGAGAGGGTTATTGTTTGTCTAAGTATAACCCAACCACCCCAAGGCAAGCTATCTGTAGAACGCTGCATTGCACTTCTTTAACTTGCAAGGCAGGCTAGAAGACTTTATTCACGATGTGCATGTAGAGGTGAGGGGTGCAAAGTCGCATACAGATGGCCAACAATGGCTTACTGAAAGGAACAATAGTAGTTGTTGGGAAAGGTTATTTCTTTTAAATGATGGCACATGCCCGGTGAGGACTGTCTGACATACTGAATTGCACCTTGCCAGTCAAATGCAAGATCATCATATAGTTAAACAAATGGGCATTCTGATAGCCATTCTGTTCCCATATCTTATTGCCAAATGACTGTTAAATATTTCTCTTATGATTACAGATTCCAAACAAATTACACAGAGTATGACTGTGAGAAGAATGACGTGTGCTGGCAGCAACTTGCTTATCCTCTTACTATATACTACACAGGTATATACAGTCATCATATACAGTCTATGATTTAACAAAGAACTCTTGTCTGCCAGTTGTCAAGATCAACTTTCATAGTTTGACATGTGGATAAAAAAAAGTAAACTGCAAATTACTGTACGCAGAGCTGAAAGACAACAAGCTCATGGAATACTATTATGCAATTATTCATTTGTTGAACATCCCTTTTCTTTATACTCAGTGGCAACTTAGCTATATCTGTTTAGTATCCTTAGAGGTGCATATGGTGAGCAACCCGTGTCAGGTTCTTTCTGGCATTCAAATGATTAGCATTGAGAATAGAGGGGTTAACCTTTCCCACTCAGGCTTTTCTGATGCCCTGCAGGCCCGGGCCTGTGCTGTGGCGGCATACTGTTCACCAGGCAGCACGGAGACTTCGGGGCTGTCAGTGTGTGCAGTGGCACTTTTCGCTGATATCCTCCCACAGGATACAGTGTGAGCTCTGCAGTTGGCGGGGCGTCTTACCAGTGCACGGGATGAGCAGCCTGCACCTTTGGAGGAGACAGAGCGAGCAAGCAGGTAGCTCCTCCGCACTGCGTCACCTTACTGACCTCCGCACTGCGTCACCTTACTGACCTCCCCACTGCGTCACCTTACTGACCTCCCCACTGCGTCACCTTACTGACGTCTCCACTGTGTCACCTTACTGACCTCCCCACTGCGTCGCCTTACTGACCTCCCCACTGCGTCACCTTACTGACCTCCCCACTGCGTCACCTTACTGACCTCCCCACTGCGTCACCTTACTGACCTCCCCACTGTGTCACCTTACTGACCTCCCCACTGCGTCGCCTTACTGACCTCCCCACTGCGTCACCTTACTGACCTCCGCGCCTTGCGTCACCTTACTGACCTCCACACTGCGTCACATTACTGACCTCTGCACTGCATCAGATTACTCACCTCCACACTCTGCGTTTTATTATCGCTCCCACCCTCCGCCCTGGGCCCGGCCGGCCGCACCGAGCAATCAGGACCCAAAGCAGAGGCTGCACTGTAGTTAAGCAAATTAGGCGGCCGTCTCAGACCATGCCAGGGCTTTGCAGCTGCCTAAGTATGGGGGAGGGGCTTATTTTTTGGCGGTGCCCCTCCCGAGACTAGACTCTGGATCCGCCCCTGCTTCAGTCCTGAGTCGAGTGCGTTGCATATACTATTCTGCATTGCTGTATAATGTATTACTGTGATTTGTAGTCCTGCTACAGCCGGTGCCATTCTGCATTAGACTATAAGCTCCTCTGTACAGAGACTGATGTGACTGGCTCATCTCATGAGCTATATAATGGTATAGTAAATATAATGGTATAGAAATAATAGTGTGTGACTATGGGGGGTTGCACCAGGGCCCTTTTGTTTCTTAGGTCTGCCAATGCCACCACTAACCTGAACCTTGACAGAAGACAAGATGGCACATAAATTCTTCTGATGTGTGACAAATGCTGACCTTACATTCTGCATGTATGTTATCAGCAGAAATCTAGACTAACCTGACAGGACAGCATTGTTTCAATCTTCCAGCGTGTATACACCCAAAAAATACACAATAAAATGTCATATATTGCAGCTTGTATTTGTTCAGTCTCCCCCCTCCCCTCACCTAGTAAAACACACACTGTGTCTAGGTGGCTACATTCACTCCTGTATGTTTGCCACTCAGGCTGGAATTTAAACTTGTCTTCCTTTGTTCATTTCTATTACATGGGGAATGCAGAGATTAGTAGTTTACAGAAAAAAAGATAGCACTTCCAGTTCATCTTAAAGGAAGTGACCCTGTATTTTTGGCAAGATCAGTCATTATTTGCTGCCAAATCATTTACAGTGTGTGACTATGTGCTTTAATGTGGAGGGGTACATGATGATTACATGAATATAATGTAGTCTTATATTAAGAATGGTAAAGGACTTACTCTAGGCAGAGCAAATAGGAATTTGAAAGGACTTGACTTGATGCAGCTTTTCTGGCCGACAATTTAAAAGAGAAGTAAAGTCAAAAATGTTCTTGGCTTCACATCTCTTTTGGATCATGGCAATACATTTACTAATGTATTTCTGTGACCCAAAGTCAACACATAAAAGGCATTAGTCTGCTATCTATTCACTTTGGGCCACGGAAATACATTGGGGGGGAGGAAATGATCAAAACTGGAGCAGACAGAATCTGGAGCCATGGCAACCAATCAGCTTTTTTTCCCATTCTTTACTGCAGCCAGAATAGGAGTACAGAAATAAAAGAAATCACACATTTCTAAGTGCAGTGAACATAACGCATAAAAACTCCCATGCACTATATACGGATCCAGTATACATAAAACCGTTTCAATATAGAATAGCATTAACATCTTCCAAAAAAGGAGGACCAGTGATGGTACCCTAGGTAATGGTCACAAGAGGACTAGCTAACTCCTTAGGCTAATTTCCATTTTTTTTTTTACTTGTGTATATATATCCCAACCAAGGATAAAAGCACGTGTATTATTACCCTTACCTTAAAATGCAGGGTACTCTTGTATGGTGGATATTTCCATTATAAAGAATTGGGCAGAGGGGGGGGGGAAGAAAGAAACAAAATGGGACAGGTGAAAGGAAAGATCTAGATGTGTGGGAATGCCCAAACCCCAAGGTGTAGCGATTAAGTGAAGCCTCTGGAAACCAATCAGCTTTTATCTTCAGTTTGTTCAGTTAAGCTTAGAAAATGAAAGCTAGAAGCTGGTTACCATAGACAACTGCTCCAGATTCTGATGCTCCAGTTTTCAGAAATTCCCATCATTGCTTTTTTGGGCGTGGCCAAATTCATGTAGAATTCCAAAGCTGACAAGACTAGTTTCCGAGCCATCTCTTAAGAACAGTAGAAATGGGTGTAGTTTGTTAAAAACTCATGAATTGCTTGATCTCATTTTAGGGGAGCCCTACCATCTAACTCTAGCCAAAGGTATGATCCTAGTTTTCTTCTTTATAAGTGCCGCAATCCTCGGAGGTCCATGGAACAGAATATGCAAAGCCTGGAATAATACACTGTAATCATGGATGGTTTCTTGTTGTAATGTAAATATATGTAAAACACTGTATATTTTTTTTTTTACATTTAAAATAAAAAAAGAATATAAATTAACAACTCTGTTCTTTATTTTTAAATGATATGGAGTAATTTATGTTGCACAATGCCTGCACTGATTTACCAGGCATGTCTTTGCCTAGACTATGTACAGTATAATTAGTTTTTAGTTTTTTTTTCTTGACACTGTACTCATAATAGGGCATATTGGTAAATTTAATTGCTGGTACATTTACCAATATATTAAAAGTGAATAAAATGTCATTCACCCTGTTTGTAACACTGTATGTGTATCTGTCTCTGCACATTTGCCAAACATTTTAAAATAACAATCGGGCTAAGAATGCTAATCATTGCATTTTCATTAAAAATAATAATTGCCTTTGGAGATTGCTGAACCTGTGTTTTTAGGATGGACTGACTGTATGTCCACATTAGTTATCAGTCCAAACATGGACATGGATAAAACTGTTAGACCATTGCCCATCATTTGACTCATACCAGTAAGAGAGAGTGCAAGAATTGTGGATTATGTCAGGCAAAATGTATGATATAATATGTGCATGGATAACTATCATATCACAGTAAAATGATTAGGTATACAATGGGCCTCTAATAACAGTACACAAGGGAAATAGCAGGTAAGCGGCACATGAACCACCCTCTCATAGGCACTGGCTGTGCCAAAGGACCCAAGGTTATCAGACTTTTCGGTATGTGTTTATTTTCTTCAGTGTATCAGTGCTAGCTTTTTTAAGTAGTCTAATCCAAGGTAGCTTCAAAAAGACACCCTCTCTTGTAGGGTAAACTCAAAAGTCCCTTTTTGCATTGGGGTCCTGCTAATCAGCACTTAAACCAGATAGCTCTGCGTATCTGAATGGAAGAGACAGACACGTGGATCAACTCCAGCAGTTGCCTGTTCTGCATGTAAAGATTTTGGCCAAGTAGCCAAAAGGGATGCATCAGAATTTCAGCCACTGAAGTATTGCAGCCAAAAATGGTACCCATAGTACCATAGCGGCCAAAAATGCGTCCGAAAATTCAGTGCATCCTGACAGCTTCTCTCTTCCCCCCTAGACGCCGGTCTGTGTCCCCTCCGATGCCCGCTGCTCTTCCCTGCCTGTGTCGGCAGAGGCAGCAGGGATCTGAGAGGACACAGAGGATCAAGCTGCTGGTGCCCTGCGGGGAGGAGAGAAGCTTTCAGGAGGCCGAGTGGGCTGGTGTGGGAGGAGACAGCTCTCAGGATGCCGAACAGGGAGGAGAGAGCTGCCACAGGAGGGCAAAGCTCTCCTCCCTCACTGCCACGCTCAGCCTCCTGTGAAAGGTGGCGTGTCAGGATGGAGAGCGGCTTACAAGCATTCACGATCAGAAACAACATAGTATGCTTGCTGTGTCCCCAGGTATGAATGAATAGGAAGTGATCTATATAATTTCCTGTTCGTTCATGATTGTGGACTTAATAACTTGTACTATTTCCACAGTTTATGAATGGATAGGAGTACACAGTATAGAGGATTCCTGTTTATTCACAACAGGGGCTGCAGAAAAAGAGATTTAGGTATCTGTGTCCTCAATCACTTTTTTTATTATAAAAGGGAAATATGTTTATTTTTCAAATAAATATGATCTTCCTTAGTTAAATAGCCCTGACATTCCCAAAAGCACTACCTGTGCATACAGTTCCGAGCATACCAAAGTGACCATTGATTTCGGGAAGACCACTGTTCATGCCAACTTATCTGCCCTCAATGACAAAAGGGATAACTTAAAAGAACTATGAGGTGAGTGAAAATCACTCAATGAAATTGTCACACGTCGGCTCAATAGATTGGGAAGTGAGCGAACACATACCGTCGCTCCCTCACTTCTCAATCATCTCCCAGCAGAGAGCAGTGACTGTCAGTTACCGCTCCCTGCAGGGATCCCCACCCTCCCGCGCTGACTGGAGGAACAGATGGGGGAGGGGCGGGTACAGCTGGTTCTGACTCTAGATAGGCAGAGCCAGCTGTCAATCACGCAGCTTGGTGGATCTCAACAGCATTGCCTGGATTGGTCGCGGCTGCAGCAGTCTCAGTATACCGCGAGCTGTAGCTCGCGATATACTGAGCTTTGGTTAACGGGAGGACGCTAGTATATGTCCTCCTGTGACCCTTAGGAGAGCTATAAGGAAAAACACTTACTCCATGGTACTTACTGTTCTGTTTACCAGCTAGCTCTTCACCATCTCTCTAGGTGCCATACACATTGTTTAACAAGCTGTACTGTATTTTGTGTTTGTGTCTGGAAAAAATCATAAAAATAAATATATGTAATATTCTTTAGAATAAGGAGCATTCTCTACCGGGAAAAAAAAAAGGTTTGTTTTAATGCGAAATCTACCACAGACGAATCGGTCAAGCAAAACAAACGACAAACGCACTCAACAATTTGTCACCAGCTATACAGTAAGGTGCACACGAAATGGGCTTTGAACAGAAACCGTAGAAAGGCATCATGGCACACTCACAAACCAGCATGTAAAACAACTTGTCTCACCACTAAGGATAATAACAGAGGTTTGGATACACGTCTTCTGCAGAGGATGTGAAAGCCGCACTGCCGCGCCAAGGCACCTCTTATATAAACCTGAAAACTTGAGCGTGCATAGCTATTCGCCACCCAAAGTCACTAATTTGTAGAGCCACCTTGCGCAGCAATTACAGCTGTCTCTTGGGATACGCCTCTATAACTTTCGCACATCTAGCTACTGGGATTTTTGCCCATTCAAGACAAAACTGCTCCAGCTCCTTCAAGTTGGATGGGTTTCTCTGGTGTACAGCAATCTTTAAAGTCCATTTCCACCTCTGTGATTAGCTTTTATTGTGGTAGAGGTGCAGTAATTATGTACATGTGTACATAGTTACATAGTATTTGAGGTTGAATAAAGAGATTAGTCCATCAAGTCCAACCTATAGGATATCAAGTCCAATCAAGTACATTTTCATGACTCGCATTGAAGGCTTTCATTTTTTCTTAATAAACTTTTAATAGGCCTGAATCCTACAAATTCAAAATTTTCTACACAGGAAGTCTGACACCGGGGTCGTATTGTAAAGCCGGTTGTAAACAGCTGCCCCACTCCCTATGATTCTGTGGAACACTATCACTAAACACCAGCTTTGCACACAATAAACTTTCCAGGGGTGTTGCCACTATGAATACAAAAAAATGGGGGGTGGCGAACTCAGTTGCAATATACACAGATTGCTTGCAGACCAGAGGTGGCCATTTCTATTAGGATATGAAAAGGAAAGTAACAAAGAAATGCAAATTTCTGTGTTCATATACAGCAACTGCATATGCCTGCTTCACTTGGTGTACGTTGCCGACATGTTTTTTTAAAAATAACTCCACAAAAGGTGGAAATGGGCTCTAAGTCATGCCACAGATTCTAAATTGGATTGAGGTCTGGGCTTTGACTAGGCCATTCCAAGACATTTAAATGTTACCCCTTAAACCACTCGAGTATTGCTGAAGCAGTATGCTTAAGGTCATTGTCCTGCTGAAAGGTGAACCTCCGTCCCAGCCTCAAATCTCTGCAGAGAAACAGGTTTCCTTTAAGAATGTTCCTGTATTTGGTGCCATCCATCATTACTTCAATTCTCAAGTTTGCCAGTCCCTGCCAATGAAAAACATCCGCACAGCATGATGCTACCACCACGCTTCATTGTGGGGATGGTGTTCTTGAAGTGATGAGGATTTTGCACCAGACGTTTTCCTTGAAGGCCAAAAAGCTCAATTTTAGTCTCATCTGACCAGAGTACCTTCTTCCATATGTTTGGGGTCTCCCACATGCCTTTTGACTAACAGCAAATGGGTTTCCTTTTTTTTTTTTCTGTAAGCAATGGCTTTTTTCTGGCAATTCTTCCATGAAGGCTAACTGAGTGTACGGGTTAAAGTGGTCCTATGAACAGATACTCCAATCTCCACTGTGGAGTAAAATTATTAAACGTTGACCGGTCCACGGCGATAAAAAGGTTGGGGAGCACTGTTGTAGGGGACACCCCAGGTTTTTCTCTCTCCCAGCTGGAAGCAGCGGCGGTTCCACAGAGACTGCGTGGCCACAATCCCTGCATAGACCGGCCAGCTAAGGCCGCTAAGCAAACAGGAGGGGGTGGAGCTACACCTTCGTCTGTGGTATGCTGAGACGAGGCCTCGACAAATGCGGAGATACCGCCCCGTTCCCCGATCACTGCATCTGTCAGATAGGTGGGCGGAAGGAGCGGAGCCGCAGCAGAAGGACGAGCGAGCCGCGGGTTGCCGACCCCTGTCCTAGACGCTAATAATAAGAGTTGTCCAGGTTTTGGCCACCTCTTGGGCTGTCCTTTGTTTTTAAGCGCACCTAGGGTAATTCCTGCAGGAGGTGATATACCCAGTCAGCGAATATCTAAAGCAGAGCTGTGTCCTTCATACAAAGAAAGATAAATTATTATTTGGATAGTCACACTGAGAATACAGGCTGTAGGCAAATGGCCGGACTTCTAGCAACCGTTAGTATCAAAGTAGAAAAAAAAAGACCAGGGTGGAAAAAACATAGTATGAGTTTGTTTTATTCTACAACAATCTTTTTTGTCCATGAAGTATATTACAACAGTAGAATGCATGGACAATCAGCTTCTACAGTCAGTGATAATTAGCTAGAACCAACATGAACTTGGTTTAAAAGAACAACATCTGTGCAAAAACGATGGCATAAAGTATGCAGATTTTTATTTTTAAAAAAAAGACCCAAGCCGATTTAGTTTTTTCCTTTTTGCCACTGCATTCTAGAATAAAATTATATTCAAACATGTGCTATAAGACAGCAAAAAACAACTATAACAGAGATTGTAAACGTATAAAAAAAAAACCTCCAGAATGACTAGTGGGATTGTTAAGGAAAATGCCACAACATTTCTATACAATCAAAGCTGAACTCTGGGTACAAAACTGTTATCTAACTATATTCTTCAAATAGCCACAAAGGATAAAAATTCACTTTGCGTGCATCAAATGTCTTTGAATACCCAGTTATTACCTTGTAAAAGGAGTGGTGGCATCAACACTGTTTCACATAGTCTGTGCAGAGAGCAGAACTGTGGGAGGGACTCAGCTGGTCCTCCAACTACAGGTTGCTTGCAGAAAACTACAGGAGGGAGGCAGATACAACACCAGTCGCACTGTACAAGGAGAGAGCAGCAGCAGCGACTGGTCCTAATATAGGAGGCTCCTGCACAGAGGCAAAGTTTCACACTGGGTTACTGCTCAGATCTGGGGAAACTACACAAAAGAACACCCGAATTCAAGTAGAATACACATGCCTCTTGTATTTTAACAATATTTGCCTATCCCAGAGTACAGCTTTAACAGTGGGAACACACTTGCTTATTTCATTGTGACAGATACAAAAACATTGAGGACCTTACCTTTAACTTCATACACTTTTAAATGTGAAAAAAATTAAAACTAAAAACAGCTTCCTATTGCAGTTGAATGAAAATGGGCATCTGGTAACATCAACACCAGTATCACTGATATTTACAAAATGATTTTGTTTCTTTCAATAAGTTAAAGTCAATGCAACATCCATGCAAGCCAGTATTCTAGCTTTTTGGTTACAAGGACATGAAGTGAGAAGTCCAGAGTAGCAGAAGTAATACATCCCGTTCTCCTTATTCAAACAGCGTCCATTCCACGCATTGATGTAAACCCCAAGCCCATGCCTCTCGCGGTGTGAGTCTGTGATCTTGCCATCTCATACTGAGCGTCCAGGTTGCGGAAAACCTCTTCTTGTTGCTTTAGGGTTTTGTAACATTCAGGATCTCCACCACTAGTGCCAGCTTCATCTTCATGCTAAAAACAAATAGAATAGTTAACACATGGACTGTATTCCTATATCAAAATGATTACTGCTTCAGCAGAAATGCATCATAGGTATAACTCAGTAAAGGGAGGCCGTGGGATTAACAGCCAATTGACTAAGACTAATAATGCTGCCATAGTGCAAGTAGATTTGTTAATCCTCAAGGAACTCCGACTTTTTTTTTTCAACCTGACTAACTATGTAACTATATAATCTCAGACGCATGCTTTACAGAGGGATTTGACTTTCCTTGCTCAGACCTTATGCCACCCCTACCAGAACCAAGCTTTGCCCCTGTACCCTGATGGGAGAGGTTCTTTTGTAGTGTTCAGTATGATTAATTCTTAAAAAACAGACTATGGAACCACTGCAGGGATTCCACATTTGAATCCATTGCGTTAAAGAAAACAAATCATCTTAACCTTTGTAGGGGGGCTACCCCCACACTGCAAGGTTTAACTGCTTGTTTTTGTCTAGGGAAAAGAAGCTAAACATACTCACCTGAGCCTTGAAGTCGGCTGGTTGTCACTGCAGCCTCGCTCCCCCTTTGCTCTGGTGGTCTAAGCCAGCCTTTCTCAACCAGGGTGTCGTGGCACCCTGGGGTGCCTTGAAATTTTCAGTGTCATGCCTTTCCATGGTGTAGGCAGGCTTCAAACATAAAGTGGGCCTCTGATGTGATACAAGGGGGTTCCTGATATAAAAAGGGGGACTTTGATGTGAAAGGGGGGCTGTAATGTGAAGAGGAACACCATTTGTTTGTATTTTTGTGCGGGATCCCTTCTTAAAATCCATACCAGACCCCTATCTGGTATAAGGGTCTGCTATGAAATCCGGAGGGGCTACACATGTACACTGCAAGGGTTACTATTATTTCTGCCCGGAGTTCTTATATACCGTATTTTGCGGTCCACAAGACGCACCGGACCATAGGGCGCAGGGAGGTCAGGCGCGCCTTATGGAGCACTCGAGACTGTATCTTCTGTGACAGCTTCTATGACAGAAGCTGTGACAGAAGCTGCAGTTAGTGACCGCTGAGACAGGTGGCGCTGTGATTACAGCGCCACGGTCTCAGTGATGACACAGAGCAGGCGAAGAACTAACATGCTTCGTCTGCTCTATGGTTATCTCGATCGACGCCGCTGCTCGGTTTTAATACGAGTGATCTCATTAGATCACTCGTATTAAACGAGCAATGGCTCCTGCTGCTAAACTCGATCACCGCTGCTCGGCTTTAATACGAGTGATCTCATTAGATCACTCGTATTAAACGAGCAGTGGCTCCTACTACTCGCCCGGCACCCGAAACTGCATGTCTCGGGCGTCGGGATTCGCTCCATAAGACGCAGGCACATTTTCCCCCTCCTTTTGGGGGGAAAAAAGTGCGTCTTATGGAGCGAAAAATACGGTAAGTGCTTACTGTCCGGTCGTTGTAATTAACTTCTTTCGCACACATGATATAATCCATATTTGTGGCCTGAAAATTACTTAAAACCGCCAAACATAATACATTTCCTGAAAGCCAAGACCCTGTAGAATTAAATGGTGGCAGTTGAAAATTTTTATGTTGCACGATATTAGCGCAACTCTTAAGGCCTTGTTCACAACAAATGCAGGAGCAGATCTGCTCAGGCTTCTGCACACACAGTGCAGTGGGTTGTGCCCGTTTTTGATGCGTTCCGGGCCATTTTTGGTAAAAATATATATTTTTTTTTGTTTAATATGGGCTTTCAGTGCGTTGCAGGCATTTGCATGCATTCCAGAGCAGGTAAAAATAGGTCTTGCTGCAGTTTTTTCACCTGCTCTGGAACTGAAGCAGAAAACTATTGGAATACATTGGGCGCAGTTTTGATCCGGTCTGTAACTGCTCTGCACCTGCTCCGCACTTGGTGTGAACAAGGCCTTAATCAAACCCAAAAATGTTGTGAAAAATCCACTTAAGTTAAATTTAGTGCCCCAAAACACAATAAAATAACTATTTTTAAAATAAAATATATAAAATGAGGTTTCAACGAGTAAATAGATACCCAACATGCCTAGGTAAAAAATTGTGTGCGTATGTAAAACGACGACAAAATTAAGTACCCCAAAACATCTATAGATGACACTTTAAGAGCCCCCCACAGGTCATCAATTTAGAGATCCATGTAAATATTGGCTCTAGGATTATTGCTCTCACTCTCGCGTACGCAGCTATACCCAACATGTGTAGCATGTGCATCGGTTTCATAGGTAGGCCCACCCGATTACGTGAATAAGTGCGTGCTCGCGGGGGGCTAAAAATTATTTTTACATTTGATTTATTACTTTTTCAAACTTTTTTTTTTTTTAACTTTAATTGCCATCACATGTCACTAAGGGGTTAAACGGCCAGACAGCTTGCACTTGATGGCAGGTGGATGTTTTTAAACATCTTTTCCAGCTCGAGTGCGGCCCCTGCCCACCACTCTAAAGGTGCCCATACACTGTACGATTCTCGTACGAGAATCGCGGGAAATCCCGCGATCGTACGAGAATCGTACAGTGTATGGAAGGCGTGCGACCGTTCCTACTGTACGGTCGCACGTCTTCTGTCGAACCAGCAGGCTTGAAAACCCGCCGAGAATCGTACGATTCTCGGCGGGTTAGTGGCCTGCTTGTTGGACAACTGCTGAACGGGCCGGTGTGCGCACGCTGCCCGTTTGAAGTGATCAAAAGGCCCGCCCCTCACTGCGGTCATCGGAAGCCCGCCCCTCACCCCTCCAGAAGGAAGGACAGTCTCAGCACCAATTCAGAGATGATTTGAGGATCTACAGCTGAGTGATAAACAAATAAGATACTTTTTTTTTGTTAATAGTTAGGCTACTTGAATGTATTTTTAAGATTTAACTTCGGAGTTTAGCGTCACGTTAAATTGTAAACATCCCTCCACAAAGAAAAACAAAAACAAAAAAAAACCCCACAGGAACATTCACTTTTCAATCAGTATCATATTACCCACCTTTATTCCCATTAGTTTTCTAAATTTTACATTTTGGTCCTTGTTTCCAAAATTGAGCTTCTCCCAGATTTCCGCTGACTGAGATTTCTGAGATTTCTCCTAAAAGAAAACATCAAGATTAAATATTACATGTGTTTATTGCTGTTTCCAGTTATTTTCTTGCTGCACATAATATTATTCTGGCACCTGTGCAAAACATTATGGTGCAAAAATGCAGAAGTACTAAAACTGAAGTGGGTGTATGGAAACCCAAGACACGTTATTTAGCTGTTTGCAGCAACTGAATATCTTTTCTTCATTTAATGAACTAAAATTGAAACCTGTTATGTTACTACTGGCAAGTCTACATTTCTTTCAACTTTTTGCAGTTTACATATAATGATCATAATGGAAATACATAGCTGAACAGCTGGTCCGCCTTTGATAACCATTTGAGGCGATCTTGTCACTAGAATAATAAAAGTCAAAACTACAAACAGCCTGTAAAAGATAAATACTTGCTTGTCCGATGGGCAGTGACGCCAAGCACCACTCTTGCAGAGCTGATGTCAATATCAGACACTTCCAGGTGTGTCAGATGTCACATTACACGCTGTGATTTCCCCCCACCACAGATCTATCACCACAGGACACAGCAGTGATGTAGCAGCTGGAAGTTTGAACCTGACGGGCGCAGGTATGGAACACAGCCTGAAGTGTCAGACGGTAAAGCTCTGGAGATTGGAGGCAGGACACTTATTATTCCTTTTCTTTTGCAGGCTGGCTTTGACTACTTTATATTATGCCAGGTCACTGAAGCTGGGCTTTTCAATTCTTTCTAGCACAAACAGTGAGTTTCTGAGGCCAGGTATTGTCGTAAGGAAGCTGCTTCTCCTTACCAAAAAATAGGGAGCTCACAGAAAATGACAATATCAAACAGGTCACTGCAATGTTGATATATGTAACAAGATTAAAGTGCATTATCCACGTTTGCAGTGAAATTTTTGAAAAATCCTACTATATGGTTTGGTACTTGTTCCTATTCACACAGAATATCTAAAAATAATAATACAAAAAAAAAAACAGATGCTCCTCAGGTTGCGATTGATTGAGTTACGATCTTCCACATTTATGGAGTTTACTGTACAGTAAACTCCTAGTTATTCGACACCCAGATTGGTAGGTGCCGGATAACTGTAGTTTCTGGTTGCTTGAGAGTTAATAGTAACTCTCAAGCAACCATCCCTTAAGCGCAGTCTGGCTATTGCACCCGCCTTGATTAAGCCACATTTTTAAAGAGGTGCATAGTTCCGATGGCTACATGCACTTCCCAGTGGGTTAAAGGACCACCACTCATCAATGACTGTTCTGTTCCAGTGCACAGCCCACAGCCACAAACCAATCAGCATCAGGGTTTATGATCCAATTGTAGCAGGACAAAGCTCTGCCTCAAAACATTATTGCAAAAGCTATCTAAAGCTGAGTCAGCCATTATATTCTGTCGATGCGGAGTTGCAAGGAGTTATTAAAAAAAAGAGAACCCTGTATTAAGAAAACAGTTCAAATATTCTTACCCCTTCCTTCTTGCCTTGCCAGAGCATCTTCCGCTTCTTTTCTTGCTCTGCAAACCTCATTGGATTTACAGCTGCTGGATTATAATAGCTAGGAACAGAAATGCCAGTCTCTGCTAATGCCTTGGCCTGTAGAGCAGCCATTTGTGCTGCCATTGCAATTTGAGGGGTGACCTGTGTTCCTGAGGCCAACAAAGCTGCTACATTGATGCCGGATCCACCGCCTCCTGCAGCAACTGCAGAAGAAAAAGTTAAATTATACCATGGGTTGATTAGAGATTTGTAAAGCAATCATTATTTTAGCATGTAGTGCACATATATGGTAAGTATTTTAAGTCTGCGTGTGTAATTATATATATATATAGTGCAATATAAATGGGTAAGCCGTATTAGTCCAGTAGACAAGATGTCAAAAACGCAGTATTGCAGTGTGCAATGATACCTTTCTTATTGGACTAACAAAATCTATAAAAAGACAAGCTTTCGAGAGTGAACCTCTCTTCTTCAGGTCAGAAGCAATACCCCACACACACAGATATATAGTAGGGATGTCCCGATACCGGTACTAGCATCGGTATCGGGACCGATACAGGGCATTTTTCACAAGTACTTGTGAAAATGCCCCAATACATAGCGCCGGTACTTGCGCTATGTTTTTTTTTATTTTATTCTATCCAAAACTTTTTTTTTTTAAAGTAACAAAAGTTTTGGCTTCAGTTCTGCTTTAAGCCCAATGGCTGGCCCCTTGGGCACCTAGCACTGGTTTGTGGGAGGAAGGGGGAAAGGTATTGGCTTCTCCGAGTTATTTTTTGCAATCCAGCAGACAGTGAGGGGTTTGTTTAAAATGTAAAGACATTTTACTAAGCCAGCTTTACAGCAAATCTGTAACTTTATAACTGAATGAACCAAGTATAGGTTCAGTGTAGGGAGATCCAGTTTTTTGCTCTGCTCTTAAATGTCAAAACGACCTTTCAATAATCATTAGCTGGAAGTACCTTTCTCACCTCCTACGCTTTCTTGCTGTTTCTGCTTTTCAACCAATTCTTTTTCACGCTGTTCCTGCAGTTTTTTTGCTCTCTCCAATCTTGAAAAGAAAAGATAAAGTATAATGCCAAAAAAAAAAAAAATGTACAAGATAACTGCAGTACTAAATCCTTTTATTGTGAAAATGTTATAAACATAATAGTACTGCACTACAAAAGAAAGCAGCAAAACAGAAACATTCACAGAACTGTCAAATCAAACAGACATATCTAGCCGTCAGCAAAATTGTTATAGCAAGCGCCTGGAATGCCTCCACATTTGGAAGGTACAATACTATATTGGCTAATAGATCGATAGTCTAACCATCAGAGCTCCACAACCTGTAATGCCAGACATGGCTGCAGGTCGAGCACTACTGAACTGGAATGGGGGGGAGAGGGAGCAGATTGGAACTTCTAAGTAAATGTTACTTCATTTTTTTTAAATCCGTGTGTAAATATTTAAAAGCACTACATGGAAATCTTTAAATAATCTATGGGGAATATTTGTTCAATACATATAATCCTTATTGCAATCTCTCTTCAAATCTTAGTGGACCCTATCTATAAAAAGCACAGATTTCTTGTCAGTATATTGGTTTACTAAAAATAAAGTTAATGGAATGGGGGGTGGAAGAAATAACAAAAAAAAACAAAAACACAAAAGCACCAAATTTCAGGCAGTACGGACCTTTAAATGCCCTGCACCAAATTGCACGACAGTTTTGGCAGCTTTACTAAAACTAAAGACAGATTCAAGAAAATGACTGCCAGCTTACAAATTAGAAGACTGGCAGTAATTAAGACCAACTCTGATCTGGCGTACCGAGAGACGCCTGCGTTTAGAGTGGGATGTGTACAGCAGACAGACTCTAAGCAACCAATGCCATGGTTGAGTGGACAGAGCCTGATGGAAAGCTGACGGACAAGTTCCCCATCAGGTACAGCTCTGCATTACGGAGCTGTACTGGTGACGGAGTGACAGTCGATATGACAGTAGCAAATTAATGTACCCGTTTCCAATGGTTAAATAAATCTGGGGCAAGCACCGACGTTTCTTGTGCGGGAGCAAACCAGAATTCTAAAAATGAATCCCCCCCCTTCTATCACCACAGGACACAGCAGTGATGTAGCAGCTGGAAGTTTGAACCTGACGGGCGCAGGTATGGAACACAGCCTGAAGTGTCAGACGGTAAAGCTCTGGAGATTGGAGGCAGGACACTTATTATTCCTTTTCTTTTGCAGGCTGGCTTTGACTACTTTATATTATGCCAGGTCACTGAAGCTGGGCTTTTCAATTCTTTCTAGCACAAACAGTGAGTTTCTGAGGCCAGGTATTGTCGTAAGGAAGCTGCTTCTCCTTACCAAAAAATAGGGAGCTCACAGAAAATGACAATATCAAACAGGTCACTGCAATGTTGATATATGTAACAAGATTAAAGTGCATTATCCACGTTTGCAGTGAAATTTTTGAAAAATCCTACTATATGGTTTGGTACTTGTTCCTATTCACACAGAATATCTAAAAATAATAATACAAAAAAAAAAACAGATGCTCCTCAGGTTGCGATTGATTGAGTTACGATCTTCCACATTTATGGAGTTTACTGTACAGTAAACTCCTAGTTATTCGACACCCAGATTGGTAGGTGCCGGATAACTGTAGTTTCTGGTTGCTTGAGAGTTAATAGTAACTCTCAAGCAACCATCCCTTAAGCGCAGTCTGGCTATTGCACCCGCCTTGATTAAGCCACATTTTTAAAGAGGTGCATAGTTCCGATGGCTACATGCACTTCCCAGTGGGTTAAAGGACCACCACTCATCAATGACTGTTCTGTTCCAGTGCACAGCCCACAGCCACAAACCAATCAGCATCAGGGTTTATGATCCAATTGTAGCAGGACAAAGCTCTGCCTCAAAACATTATTGCAAAAGCTATCTAAAGCTGAGTCAGCCATTATATTCTGTCGATGCGGAGTTGCAAGGAGTTATTAAAAAAAAGAGAACCCTGTATTAAGAAAACAGTTCAAATATTCTTACCCCTTCCTTCTTGCCTTGCCAGAGCATCTTCCGCTTCTTTTCTTGCTCTGCAAACCTCATTGGATTTACAGCTGCTGGATTATAATAGCTAGGAACAGAAATGCCAGTCTCTGCTAATGCCTTGGCCTGTAGAGCAGCCATTTGTGCTGCCATTGCAATTTGAGGGGTGACCTGTGTTCCTGAGGCCAACAAAGCTGCTACATTGATGCCGGATCCACCGCCTCCTGCAGCAACTGCAGAAGAAAAAGTTAAATTATACCATGGGTTGATTAGAGATTTGTAAAGCAATCATTATTTTAGCATGTAGTGCACATATATGGTAAGTATTTTAAGTCTGCGTGTGTAATTATATATATATATAGTGCAATATAAATGGGTAAGCCGTATTAGTCCAGTAGACAAGATGTCAAAAACGCAGTATTGCAGTGTGCAATGATACCTTTCTTATTGGACTAACAAAATCTATAAAAAGACAAGCTTTCGAGAGTGAACCTCTCTTCTTCAGGTCAGAAGCAATACCCCACACACACAGATATATAGTAGGGATGTCCCGATACCGGTACTAGCATCGGTATCGGGACCGATACAGGGCATTTTTCACAAGTACTTGTGAAAATGCCCCAATACATAGCGCCGGTACTTGCGCTATGTTTTTTTTTATTTTATTCTATCCAAAACTTTTTTTTTTTAAAGTAACAAAAGTTTTGGCTTCAGTTCTGCTTTAAGCCCAATGGCTGGCCCCTTGGGCACCTAGCACTGGTTTGTGGGAGGAAGGGGGAAAGGTATTGGCTTCTCCGAGTTATTTTTTGCAATCCAGCAGACAGTGAGGGGTTTGTTTAAAATGTAAAGACATTTTACTAAGCCAGCTTTACAGCAAATCTGTAACTTTATAACTGAATGAACCAAGTATAGGTTCAGTGTAGGGAGATCCAGTTTTTTGCTCTGCTCTTAAATGTCAAAACGACCTTTCAATAATCATTAGCTGGAAGTACCTTTCTCACCTCCTACGCTTTCTTGCTGTTTCTGCTTTTCAACCAATTCTTTTTCACGCTGTTCCTGCAGTTTTTTTGCTCTCTCCAATCTTGAAAAGAAAAGATAAAGTATAATGCCAAAAAAAAAAAAAATGTACAAGATAACTGCAGTACTAAATCCTTTTATTGTGAAAATGTTATAAACATAATAGTACTGCACTACAAAAGAAAGCAGCAAAACAGAAACATTCACAGAACTGTCAAATCAAACAGACATATCTAGCCGTCAGCAAAATTGTTATAGCAAGCGCCTGGAATGCCTCCACATTTGGAAGGTACAATACTATATTGGCTAATAGATCGATAGTCTAACCATCAGAGCTCCACAACCTGTAATGCCAGACATGGCTGCAGGTCGAGCACTACTGAACTGGAATGGGGGGGAGAGGGAGCAGATTGGAACTTCTAAGTAAATGTTACTTCATTTTTTTTAAATCCGTGTGTAAATATTTAAAAGCACTACATGGAAATCTTTAAATAATCTATGGGGAATATTTGTTCAATACATATAATCCTTATTGCAATCTCTCTTCAAATCTTAGTGGACCCTATCTATAAAAAGCACAGATTTCTTGTCAGTATATTGGTTTACTAAAAATAAAGTTAATGGAATGGGGGGTGGAAGAAATAACAAAAAAAAACAAAAACACAAAAGCACCAAATTTCAGGCAGTACGGACCTTTAAATGCCCTGCACCAAATTGCACGACAGTTTTGGCAGCTTTACTAAAACTAAAGACAGATTCAAGAAAATGACTGCCAGCTTACAAATTAGAAGACTGGCAGTAATTAAGACCAACTCTGATCTGGCGTACCGAGAGACGCCTGCGTTTAGAGTGGGATGTGTACAGCAGACAGACTCTAAGCAACCAATGCCATGGTTGAGTGGACAGAGCCTGATGGAAAGCTGACGGACAAGTTCCCCATCAGGTACAGCTCTGCATTACGGAGCTGTACTGGTGACGGAGTGACAGTCGATATGACAGTAGCAAATTAATGTACCCGTTTCCAATGGTTAAATAAATCTGGGGCAAGCACCGATCCCCCGCCCTTCAATATGCTAACCTGATCAGTAAAAAATAATATACATTGACAAATGAATACTGACCTGAAAAAGTACACTGGCAAGAACCAATAGCAAGCATTACCTTCTAGCCAAAGCTTCTTGAGCATCCATAGCAGTATTTCTCCCTCTAAAGGCTGGTGGGCTTGGTGGTGTCCTGCTTCGACTCCTACTATGCTTCCTTGGTTTTTCAGGCTTCTTCTTTTTCTCCCTTTGTGAAAAACAGTTTACAATATCAGGCACACAACACGTAAGTTTGTTTTTTTAATCCTACTGTAAGGGCTAGTTTACACTATGTACAGTGACCTACATTTGTTTTCCACAAAACCCACAGAAAACAATTGTTTTCTATGTGCCCTGTTAACCCTGCAACACTGACTTATAATGGGTTGCAGCATGTTGTGGAAAAATACACATTCTGCAACACATCAGAGTTTACTTAAGCTTACCTGAAGTCACCATCGGTCACATAAGAGTCCTTATGTTCTAGTTCAATACAGGAAAAAAAAAAAAGTAAACCATGCAAAGTGGTAAAACAGCGCAAAGCCATCCCGGGAACACGGCAGCCACTAGCCCGCACAGCAGAACACTGCAGGCGAATAGGCCCAAAATAGAACTAAATTTAACCCTTTCACTGCCACCAACGTATGGCACAGTGGAACACAACCGCTTACAGCTGGCCATGTCAGTATGCCATACGTCAGTGGCTTTTATCGTTCTACTGTAAGCACATGGTCGCTTTAGCGACCGTGAACTTATATCAGAACGGTCCCCCTGACAGTCCTCTGTAAAATAATAGCTGTCACCAGAGACTAAAATGCCACTGATGACAGCCATTAAAAAAAATCTGGGCGATCCCCTCCCGACCAGCCTCTTCTCCCCACCTGGAGAGCCTGGATCTATTTCTCCTCAGCGAAGAAATAATGTCACCAGCACACCATAGTAGTAATGCAATAGTCCAGCTGTCAAATCCAGGATAGCCGGCGGTTCTGTGATCTGTGCGTGCCGAGCGGGTCAGGATGACCGAGCAGAGGATTGCTAATTATCTGTGATTTTTACTGATCCTCTGTGTGCAGGACAAACACTGGAGTGATCAGCCGATCACTCCAGTGTTTGTAAACAACTGGGGACTCGTAGTACTAGGTGTCTACAGTTATGAATGAAACAAGTGCTTTACACATCACTGTTTATTCAGGAGTTTCTGAATGGGGAGGAGCACTCAGTATAGAGGCTTCTACCCATTCATAACTGGATGATAGTGAATATTTTACCACCTCCAGTCTGTAAATGAATGGGAAGCCTTTGTACTGAGAGCTTTCCATTCATTCAGAACAGAGGCTGCAGAAAAAGATTGAGGACGATGTTCTTTTTCTATTTCAAAAATGAGGTCTGTTATTAACCCAAAG